TAGCCGATCTTTGCCTGGCAAGTTGCCCTTGGGCTGGAAAGGCGGAACGCAGGGCCAGGAGAGAGGAGGAGGGACTTTTGGCAGTGGCACATGGGCTTGGGGGTAGATGTCTTCAGCTTGTACATCCAGTCCCAATTCTGGATGGGGAGGGGCAAAGGCAGAACCTTCCAGAAAGCATTGATCTCTGCAGCTCTTTTCAATGACGGAGGTCCATGTGGTTTTCGGGCGGGGGAGCCTGTTTCTGAGCATGTGCAGAGGGCCCTTCCTTCCGCCGGTGAGGAACCATGTCAAGAGTCTGGGGCTATTCCTAGAGGACCTGTAATAGGACCGAGAAACTGCAAAATGGCGAGCTTTTGTCAGAATAATAAATAATTACTTATTGCAGGGTCTGGATTGATGGCAAAGAGACCGTCTCTTTGTCCTCCAGCCTCAGAGCAGACTGAAAGAAGAAATTTCCTGACGGTGAGAACAATTAATCAGTGGAACAACTTGCTCCCAGAAGTTGTGAATGCTCCAACACTGGAAGTTTTTAAGAAGAGGTCGGACAACCATTTGTCTGAAATGGTATAGGGTTTCCTGCCTGAGCAGGGGGTTGGACTAGATGACCCCCAAGGTCCCTTCCAACTGTGCTCTATTCTATTCTATTCTATTCTGTTCTATTCTATTCTAATTTCCTTAATTCTATTCTATTCTATTCTATTCTATTCTATTCTATTCTATTCTATTCTATTCTAATTACCTTATTTCTTTTCTATTCTATTCTGTTCTGTTCTATTTATTCTATTCTAATTCTATATTCTATTCTATTCTAATTTCCTTATTTCTTTTCTATTCTATTCTGTTCTGTTCTATTTATTCTAATTCTATATTCTATTCTATTCTAATTTCCTTATTTCTTTTCTATTCTATTCTGTTCTATTTATTCTATTCTATTCTGTTCTAATTTCCTTATTTCTATTCTATTCTATTCTGTTCTATTCTATTTATTCTAATTTCCTTATTTCTTTTCTATTCTATTCTGTTCTATTTATTCTATTCTAATTCTATATTCTATTCTATTCTAATTTCCTTATTTCTTTTCTATTCTATTCTGTTCTATTTATTCTATTCTATTCTGTTCTAATTTCCTTATTTCTTTTCTATTCTATTCTGTTCTATTCTATTCTATTTATTCTAATTTCCTTATTTCTTTTCTATTCTATTCTGTTCTATTTATTCTATTCTATTCTATTCTGTTCTGTTCTAATTTCCTTATTTCTTTTCTATTATATTCTATTCTGTTCTATTTATTCTATTCTATTCTAATTCTATATTCTATTCTATTCTAATTTCCTTATTTCTTTTCTTTTCTATTCTGTTCTATTTATTCTATTCTATTCTATTCTGTTCTGTTCTAATTTCCTTATTTCTTTTCTATTATATTCTATTCTGTTCTATTTATTCTATTCTATTCTAATTCTATATTCTATTCTATTCTATTCCTTATTTCTATTCTATTCTATTCCTTATTTCTATTCTATTCTATTCTATTCTATTCTGTTCTATTCTTAGCACTTTTTTAGATTTGAGTTTTAGCCCTTGATGGTGCTTCATTTCAGGAAGGCTAAAAATCCTACATTGCGGGGGGGGGGGCGTTCAGCATGGTGCAATTTAAATTCTATAGTAATTCTGGCTTTTCTTTAATATCCAACCTGAAGCTCTTATATTTCTAATTGGATCTATCTGGCCTATTCTTCTCCTGGCAGCCTTGGCTATCAATCCTATTGCTGCTGGGTTCAAGCATTATATTAAAATATAATTTGCTGAGTTTGAATCTGGTGCACTGTTTGAATCTGTTAGGAGGGGTAAACCCTGGTTTAGATAAAGCCAACTAACTAGGTTTGGTCTAACAAAGCATAGGTAACCAAACCAGGGCATAACCAGAAGTCATGTATAATTTGCAAGCATTTAAACCTGCAATAATTCTTTATTTTACAGTGATGTTCCTTCTCCTAGTTCCAATTTAGCTTCTTATAGATGGAATTGTAACAGCAGAAAGGCGATTGATACTTAAGATATCCATAAGTGGTTTTTTTTTTTCTTCCAAATGTGGCAACTTTAAGACATTTGGACTTCAACCCCCAGAATTCCCCAGCCAGCAGGGGAATTCTGGAAATTGGAGTCCACAGGTCTTAAGTCACCCAATTTGAAAAAAACAACACTGATCTACGTACATTTCCATCTTTATTTTTGTTCTTCCCTTTTCTCGTTCTATAATTGATCGGCTATTAGTCAAGCTTATGTCAATTAATGCAGCGCTGTCCTTCATGCATTTCCTTCGGTTTCGGAATCTCACCACAAACAGCGGCAACATCCAAAATAGAACACAAGGGACAGAAAACTCTTATGGACCATGAATAATTTGCAGGAGTGCTGACTCTGAGTGCACAGCAGGAATCGGCCCCATATCCCAACTGTAGCAACTTCCAGATGTTGTGGATTTCAACTCCCAGAACTGAGGGGAGGAAGGAAGGTGGGAGATGGGAGAAGGAAGAAAGGAAGGAGATGGGAAAGGAGGAAGGGGGCAGGGAGGGAAGGAAGAAACGAAGGAAAGGAAAAAAAGGGAAGGAAAAAGGAAAGAAAGGAAGGAAGGAGATGGAAAAAAGAAGGGAGGGAGGGAAGGAAGATGGAAAAAAGGGAGAAAGGAGATGGGAAAAGAAAGGAAGGAAGGGGAAGGAAAGGAAAAAAGAAAGGAAGGAGATGGGGGAAGGAAGGAAGGAAGGAAGGAAGGAAGGAAGGAAGGAAGGAAGGAAGGAAGGAAGGAAGGAAGAGATTTCGGAGAGAAAAAATGAATGGGAAGAGCCAGAATAAATTATTGACTTGATGTTCTCAGCCAGATCTTTCCGCAGCACCACTGCTGCCATCTGGTGGCCGGTTAGGAATATCACAGATCGGTGAATCCATTTCTGCCTTCCTTCCTGGACATGGAGACTGGAAACCCACCCACCCACTCACACTCACAAGCACAAACACACAAAATACACAGACGCACATACAGGCACACACTTTTTTCACCTTTTTTCCTTGACGCAGCATCCATCATCTTTCTTCTGAATCCAGATGGAACAGGGGTTTTTCAAAGTCATTCATCCGGGTCAGGGGTCTTCCAACTTGGCCCTTTGATGACTTGTGGACTTCAACTCCCAGAATTCCTCAGCCAGGCACGCTGGCTGCGGTATTCTGGGAGTTGAAGTCCACAAGTCATCAAAGGGCGAAGTCCGAAGACCCTTGCTTGTGGACTTCAACTCCCAGAATTCCTCAGCCAGGCACGCTGGCTGAGGAATTCTGGGAGTTGAAGTCCACAAGTCATCAAAGGGCCAAGTCCGAAGAGCCCTGTTTGTGGACTTCAACTCCCAGAATTCCTCAGCCAGGCACACTGGCTGAGGAATTCTGGGAGTTGAAGTCCACAAGTTATCAAAGGGCCAAGTTGGAAGACCCCTGATCCGGGTGCATCGAAGTGGAAAGCTGCAAAGATTCCCGGGGACTTTAGGCCTCTTCTGGTTCTGCAAAACTAGATTCCCTTGGAACTGGATCTAGAACCTTTGGCCCACGGATGGTCCTCGGCCTACGACCAAAAGGGAGCCCAAAATCACCCTCGCTAAGCAAGGCCATTGTTAAGTGAGTTTTGCCCCGTTTTACGAGCACCCTTGCCACCGTTGTTAAGCGAATCACAGTCGTTAGGAGGGTGGCATGGTTGTTAAGTGAAACCGCTGGACATTGTGTGTCGGAAGGTCTCAAAGTGGGATCCTTGCAACTGTCGCCAGGATGTGCCAGTTGCCAAGCCTTTTGATCACGTGACCGTGGGGATTTTTTTACAGGGCCACAAACGGTCGCAACTTAGTCCCTTTTTTTCTTTCAGGGCCGTTGCGACTTCGAACGGTCCCTAAACCAACGGCCGTTAAGCCGTGGACTATCTGTACCGTTCCACCACCTCTGAGTCGGTCACCCCAGAAATTTGAGGGGTGCCCTGCGGGAGAAGGTTTAATTTCCCCTACGAGAAAACAACCCAAGACTCAGAAAGAGACGTGTTTTTTTTTTCTTGTTCTGTTTTGTTTAAACGTCCATATATAATTTATTACGGTTCTCTTTTCTTTTATACAAGCTGAAAATAAACGGCGGGGGGAACAGGGGGAAGATGGCGGAGGGGGCGTGGGGGGGGGACAGGTTTGAAATCTGGGACCACCGGGAGGGGAGGGGGACACAGGAGGGGCAGGAGAACGAATTGGGGGGTCCAGAGGAAAGAGATTTGGGGGAAAGGGGACGGGAATCTAAGAGAAAGGGGTGCCCTTGGCCACATTTTTGTGGCACCCTGGTTAAAAACAAAGCGGGGGTGGGTGGGACGAGAATCCCCCCTCCCCAGGCAGGAGAGGGGGGGTGGGCTTTTGACCAGAAGTCAGAGAAGAAAGAGGCACAAATGGAAGGAAGGAAGGAATGGAAGAATCCCGGTAGGAAACTTCTGGAGCCAGGACACCTCTTGTGGAGGGGGGGGAGAGACGGGACAGCTTGGAGGAGACCCTCCCCATGCTTTGCCTCTCCCCTTTGTAGCACGTCCGGTTCCCCCTCGGTCTTCCGGCCAGACGGGGGGGGGGAGGGGAGGAGGAAGTTTTCAGAGACCCAGGAAGGCTTTTTCCATTACTCTGTCCCAGATCTGGGGACTCCTGCAGGAAGAAAAGACAATCAAAAAAAGAGAAGAAAAAATGAGCGACCCTCCCCGGGGTCTCCCGGAAGGTCATCCATACCTACCTCCATGCCGGTCTGCTGGAAGGAACAGAGGAGGAGGAGGAAGAGCGGGGCGAGGTTTCCAGCCGGGCGGCTCGAGTTGAGGGGGGGGAGGAGGTGGGTCAGGCAGGGGTAGGTCACTGGCACCTGGGAGGGAAATTGAGGCAGGAGAGAGAGAGAGAGAGAGAGAGAGAGAGAGAGAGAGAGAGAGAGAGAGAGAGAGAGAGAGAGAGAGAGGCGGAGTTAGCCGGGGGGGAGGGGGAACCGGGTTCGAGGGGAGGGTCACGACACCGACACCTCACCGCTTCAATCGCTGCGGGATCCCACGCGTGAGCCGGCGGCTTCCCTGGTAAGCCTCGTCTTTCCGACTTCCCCGGGAATAAGTTACACGAAGTTTGACAAACGTTTCACCAAGTGTGACAAAAGATGCACAGAGTTTCACAAAGTTGCAACACGCCAAGGTAAAACAGGTAGTCCTCGACGTACGACCAAAATTTCTACGGCTAGACCAGACGGCTGCTAAGCGAATTTTGCCCCGTTTTACGACTTTTCTTCCTGTAGCCGTTAAGTGAATCGCTGCAGTTGTTGAGTTAGCCGCACGGTTGTTAAGCCGATCCAGCTTCCCCCATTGTCAGAAGGTCACAAAAGGGGATCATATGGCCCCGGGATACGGCGGCCGTCATAAATATGTGCCAAGCTTCCAAATTTTGATCGCGTGACCGTGGGGATTCTGCCAGTGGTCGTAAGTGTGGAAAAGGGGTCACACATCCCTTTTTTCCCCACTGCCGTTGTAACTTTGAATGATCACTAAACGAATGGCTGTAAGTGGAGGACCACCTGGACAAGGAGAGCGTGGACCAAGGACTTTTTCCTTCACCAGCAAGCCTGCACCACCCATCCCAGTTCAACCTGGTTTCTTGCAAATGGCTTTTGTCAGGTGCCAAAGATCATATCCACATGCCAAGCTACAATTTAACTGCTTTATTGCTGAAAGCCCACGCGCAGGAATCTTCCCGACTAACGGTTAGCTTAAGGGTCCATGAGAATTCAAGGGAGTTTGACTTAGTTCATTTGGGGCTATGTTGAGCAGAGGTCCCCAAAGTTTCTTGGTTGAAGGACCAGAAGGAAAGGGAAGGGGGAGCATTTTATGTACCTGTGCGCCACGTAAACGGGGCGGCGCTAGTGCCCACATGACACTAGCTAGCCCTGCCCCATTTCTGCCATGGGGGCACTAGCGCTGCCCTGTTTTTGCTGCACAGCACTGTTTAGGCCACATGGTGACCCGTTTTTGCTGTGCAGAGACCTGTTTAGGCCATGTGGAACCAGGTTTAAGCTATGCAGAGCCCCATTTAGGCCACACAAGCCCATTTTAGGCCATGCGGAGCCCCACAGGCCACAAGGAGCCCCATTCAGGCTGCACGGAGCCCCATTTTAGGCCACACGGAGCCCTATTCAGGCTGCGCGGAGCCCTGTTTTAGGCTGCGCAGAGCCCCACAGGCCATGTGGAGCACCATTTAGGCTGCACAAGCTCCATTTTAGGCCACACAGAGCCCATTTTAGGTCACACAGAACCCCATTTAGGCTTCACAGAGCCCCATTTTAGGCTGTGCATTTAGGCCACACGGAACCCCATTTAGGCTGTGCAGCCACGGCACTAGCACAAGTGGGGATGAATGGGTGCACTGGCCAGCCTGTGCCGCGACCCGGTGGCCAACAGACCACAGCCGGTAGTGCGCCACAGGTTGGGGATTCCTGATGTAGAGATTCTAGGCTGATTCCTCTTTTGACTCCGCCCCCAGTTTCTGTCCCTCCTTCTCTACCGCTTCGCTGCTCCTCTCTCCAAAGTTCCCTCCCACCTTCTGGATCCCACGAGCATGGGAATGCCAGCTCTGCCATACCTCCAGATCCCGGGTTCCGTCCCCGGTCGGACTCTAGCTTGTCGCAGGACTGTGCCCGCCGTGTTCTCTTTGGTTTGAGAGGCGCCATTTTCCGCCCGACCTCGGGTTCCCCTGGAATGGAAAGAGGAGCATCAGAGAGTCCTGAGCCCCAGAAAGAATTTGTTGGTTAAGGTGACCCTCTCTGGGTTGTTAAAAAGAAAAAAATTCCAGGGGCCACTAGAGGGCAACAGAGCATTCATATTTTTTTCTCTGTAGCTCTTTGCTGCCTCCTGCTGGAAAGGCTTAAATAAGTGCTTAATAAATAACACAAGATACTCTTTGATTTGCAAATAGTAAGCTAAAGATAACCTTTGTCATTTTTTACTGTGGGCACACTGTAATTTCATTAAAAATGAAATTCTGTTGCCTGCTCTCAAAAGTGTACATATATACAACACAAATATAAATATGCTATATACAACATATATATATATATATATATATATATATATATATATATATATATATATATATATATATATATGTAGGTCTTTGGTTGTTCGGGTTTTCTCCCGCGTAAAATTGGAAGTGTCTTGGCGACGTTTCGACAAAGTCCCATTCGTCATCTTCAGGCTGGTGTTTTCAGCTTCGTGCTTCGAGCAGCACGATGCTCAAAGCAAGAAGCTAAAAACACCAGCCTGAAGATGACGAATGTGACTTCGTCGAAACGTTGCCAAGACACTTCCAATTTTACGCGGGAGAAAACCCGAACAACCAAAGACCTATATACAAATACCCGCGAAAACCTCAGAAAACATATATATATATATATCTACACCCTTACATATCACATACAACAGTTCATTTAGTGACTGTTCAAACGTACAAAGGCACTGAAAAATGTGACATATGACAGTTTTTCACAGGGACAACCTCTGCAGCGTCCCCGTGATCCTGTGATCAAAACTGGGATGTTAATGACCTTTGCTGTGTCCCAAGGTCATGTGATCCCCTTTCGCGACCGTCTGACGAGCAAAGTCAATGGGGGAAGCCAGATTCAATTAACAATCGGGCTACTAACTTATCAACTCCAGGGATTCTCTTAATGACTGTGGCGAGAAAGGTCGTAAAAATGGCACAAAACTCACTTAACAAGTATTTCATGCAACAACAGAAATTTCGGGATCAAAATGCTATTATCCCAAAGCAAAAACTCCTTCCTTTTGGAATTCTTGTACCGATTAATCCAAGATCTGCGTGAGATTAACCGAGACCTTTGTCTTAGGGCAGTGGTTCTCAACCTTTCTAATGCCGTGACCCCATAATACAGTTCCCCATGTTGTGGTGACCCCCAAGTGGGTGTGGCCACCAATATGAGGGAGTAGGACAGCTAGGGAAAAGGGAAAAAAATGGCGGACAGCCTTGTTTGGCGACCCCCGTGAAATGGTCGTTCGACCCCAAATGGGGTCCCGACCCACAGGTTGAGAACCACTGTCTTAGGGCCTCGGTGTCTCTTCACCTTCGTTTTCCTGCTCCTTCGGTCTACGTCGGGGTTGAGCGACGGGAGGAAAGGTGCAGGAATCTTCTAGAATGGCTCCACCAGATACACTGCCTTCCTCGTTGCTGCGACTTCTTTCCGGCTGGCTGGGGGTCTTCCGGCCCCTGGGGAGGGCAACCGGCTTGGGAGGGCGAGGAGTGGAAGAGAGATCCCTGAATTGCTGTAAAACCAAGAGGGCGGATGTGGAGATACGAAAGGAGAGGGGGGAAAAAAATAGAAATTTCTCAGAAGAAGCTTCCGGCTGCGGCTGCTGGACTACAATTCCCAGCAAACCTAGCCAGCAGGACTCATGGTATGGAATGCTGGGAATGGTAGTTTTCAACCTCCAGAGCAACGTTCCTTAACCTGGGCAACCTGTGAAGACTTCAACTCCCAGAATTCCCCAGCCAGCCATAAACCATTCATTCAGCGGTTGTTCGAAGGGATGACGGCGCTGAAAAAATGACTTACGACCTGTCCTCACAGTCACAACCATCCTCCCTGTTGTGGTCACGTGATCAAAATTCGGGTGCTTGGTAACCAGGATGTATGTACCACAGTTAAAGCATCCTGGGGGGGGTTGGTTCATGTGATCGCCATTCCTGACCTTCACAGGTGGCAAAGTCAATAAGGGAAGCTAGATTCGCTTTAACGACCGTATGAGTCAGTTACTGGGACAATCCCCTTAACGACCGTGGCAAAAAAGATTGTAAAATTGGACACGACTCCCTTAACAAATGCCTTGCTTTGCACTGGGAGTTCCTGTCTCAATTGTGATCACTCCCCAGTCCTTCACCCAGAAGCCCCCAGCCCCAAAACAAGCTTTCTCCTGCCCCTTGAATTCAAAAAAGACCTGTAGTTTTGCACTGGGCGGTGCCGTCAGTCGGTCCTTCTCGGAATTTGGTGTGCCCCCCATCACGCCCCTCTCGTCGGCCCCCGTCGGCTTTTCTTCCAGGGGGTGGTCTCGCAGGTTGCCTTTGCCCCCACTCTCCCGGGATGTGCTTTCTTCAGCTGCAGTTTGGGGAGAAGACGAACAAAGGATCCATCAACCGCCAGGAATTAATTCAATTCCTTCAAACTGCAGATCGTCCCCGACCTAACGACCATTAGGTTCGTGAGAATTCAAAGATACAACGGCGCTGCAGAAGAGTGATTTTATGACCGTTTTCACACTTAAGACATTTGCAGCGTTCCCCCCCTTGGTCACGTTATTGAAATTCAGATGCTTGGCAACTGATTCGTATTTAAATGTCTACGGAGATTCTCCGTCATCCAGGCCCTCGTTGTCCCAAAGATGCTTTTTTCAAGAGGCAACTGGACTTTCTTGTTTTTTTCTTTGAAGATGTTTCCCTTCTCACCCAAGAAGCTTCTTCCGCTCCGACTGGATGGTGAGGAATGGAAGGATTTATACTCCTTTGCAGAAAGCTGGTCATTTGTCTTCTTTTAGAGAGTCGTTGAGACCACTTGGAGGTTTATCTGTGATGTTGGGATCGTCTGAATGGTGCAAATGAGTGTGGAGCCTTCTTGGAACTCCTTTCAGCAGTTCCAAGAAGGCTCCACGCCCATTTGTACCACTCAAGTGACCCTGAGGACACAGGTAGACCTCCAAGTGGCCTCAACGACTCTCTAAAAGAATTCAAATGACCAGCTGTCTGCAAGGAGTATAAATCCTTCCATTCCCCACCATTCAGTCAGAAATGGAGAAGCTTCTGGGATGAGAAGCAAAATGTGGTTCGTATTTATGACAGTTGCAGTGTCCTGGAGTCATGGGATGCCCTTTTGCAAGCCCCAGATTCCTGTTGTTAAGCAAGACAGATGTTCGGTGACTTTTGTCTCATTTTACAACCTTTCTTTGCCAGGGTTGTTAAGTGAATCCCTGCGGTTGTTAAGTTAGTAACACAGTTGTGAAGTGAATCTGGCTTCCCCCATTGACTTTGCTTGTCAGGGACACTGCAGCCATCATAAAGACATGACAGTGGCCAAACGTCCAAATTTAATGACGTGACCATGGGGATGCTGCAACGGTCGTAAGTGTGAGAAACCATCACAGGTCACTTTTCTCAGGGCCGTTGCAACTCCAAACGGTCACTAAACAAATGGCTGTAAGTTGAGAACTATTTGTAATGTGCCTTGAATAGTGTAGGTACTCATGCAAACCGAAATCTCCCAGCAATGCCTTGTATTATAGAATAGAACAGAATAGAATAGAATAGAATAGAATAGAATAATAAAAAATAGAATAGAATAATAAAAAATAGAATAGAATAGAATAATAAAAAATAGAATAGAATAGAATAGAATAGAATAATAAAAAATAGAATAGAATAGAATAATAAAAATAGAATAGAATAGAATAAAAAATAGAATAGAATAATAAAAAATGGAATAGAATAGAATAATAAAAAATAGAATAGAATAGAATAGAATAATAAAAAATAGAATAGAATAGAACAGAATAGAATAGAATAAAAAATAGAATAGAATAGAATAATAAAAAATAGAATAGAATAGAATAGAACAGAACAGAATAGAATTAAAAAATAGAATAGAATAGAATAATAAAAAATAGAATAGAATAGAATAATAAAAAATAGAATAAAATAATAAAAAATAAAATAGAATAGAATAGAATAATAAAAAATAGAATAGAATAGAATAGAATAATAAAAAATAGAATAGAATAATAAAAAATAGAATAGAATAGAATAATAAAAGATAGAATAGAATAGAATAATAAAAAATAGAATAGAATAGAACAGAACAGAATAGAAATAAGGAATAGAATAGAATAGAATAGAATAGAATAGAATGGACCCTGGAGGTCTTCTAGTCCAGCCCCCTGCTCAAGCAGGAGAACCTATACTGTCTCAGACAACGTCTTTGAAAGAAAGAATCTGCAGTGCAAGCTACCACTTCCCAGTACTAGTAGTCCATCCCTTAAACACGAGCCAGCTATGTGCGGCGGCAGCCAAAAAAAGCTAACACAATCCTCAGTTGTATAAACAGAGGCATAGAATCAAGATCACACAAAGTATTAGTACCGCTTCATAAAGCCTTTAGTGAGGCCACACCTGGAATCCTGCACCCAGTTTTGGTCACCACATTACAAAAAAAGATGTTGAGACTTTGGAAAAAGGGCAGAGAAGAGCAACTAAGATGATTTAAAGCCGGGCTTTTCAACCTTTTCACCCATTGTACCACTTTTAGGATATGGCAATTTCCGAGTACCACCAGTCGCCTAGCAAGGTGTGAAAAACTTAATGACAAAAAAGGGGGAAAAAGTGATAAAGTACAGGTAGTCCTTGACTTACAACAATTCGCTTAATGACTGTCCGAAGTTACAATGGCACTGAAAAAAAGTGCCCCCCAAGCCACAGCCGAGCAAGACACCTGCCTGCCCGCCCGGTGGTGCTCTTCCTCCTGTCCGAGGTTTCCATTGTTGTGAGCATTTCTGTTGAGGATTGACAGCAGGGGTGGGGTAGGGGGGTGTTTGGTTTTATTCCCCCCCCCCCGTTTGCTAGGTGGTTGCAGCAGGTTTTGGTCACTTCACATGATCCTGGGACACTGTGACTGTCATAAATATGAATCAGTTGCCAGGCATCTGAATGTCAATCACAAGACCCTGGAGAGGCTGCAACATCCCAGCTGATTGGCGCTTCTTCTGGGCTCAGCAGAAGCACTAGGATCAGCGCCGAGCTCCAGCTGGAGCTTGGCACTGATCCTGGCGCTTCCGCTGTGCCCTGACGGCCTCGAAGAAGCACTGATCCTGGGGCTTCCGCTGAGCCCTGACAGCCCTGCAGCTCCAGCCGTCTCTCGGTCAGGCTTGTGTGGTGCTGCCATCGGTTCAGCTCATTCCCCTCTCCCACTACCATTTTTCTAGGATGGTCGCGTACCACCTGCCAGGTGCCGATGTACCACAGGTGGTACCCGTACCACTGGTTGAAAAGCCCTGATTTAAAGGCCCGGAGACTAAAGCATAGGAAGAAGAACGGTTGTGGGAATTGGGATCGGCCATTCTAGAGAAAGGGGGGGGGGACATGATAACAGTATTATTTGAGAGTCTGCCACAAAGAAGAAGAAGTCAACTTATTTTCCAAAGCACCAGAAGGCAAGACAAGAAAAAAAATGGATGGAAACTACTCAAGGAGAGAAGCAACCTGGGATTAAGGATGATCGTCCTAACAGTGAGGGCAATTAACCAGTGGAACAGCTTGCCACCAGAAATTGTAGGTGCTTCATCACTGGAGGTTTTTTTTTTTCTTTAGAAAAGAATGGACAGTCACTTGTCTGAGATGGTAGAGCAGTGGTTCTCAACCTTTTTAATGCCGCGACCCCCAACCGGTCGTAAGTCGAGGACTACACAACCGGTCGTAAGTCGAGGACTGCTCAACTGGTGCAGCACCGTTTGCAGAATGGGACTTTTGGCGGGCTCAGCAGGGCAGAGACAGCCTGGACAATTCCTATTGGCTTTGGAAAGCCAATAGAATGAGACTCTATTCAAGAGAGTCTATTCGATTGGCTTTCAAAAGCCAATAGAATAAAAGGGAGGAGCACAGCTAAGGAAAAGGGGGGAAAAATGGCGGACTGCGTTGTTTGGCGACCCCCGTGAAATGGTCGTTCGGCCCCAAATGGGGTCCCGACCCACAGGTTGAGAACCACTGTGGTCGAGGGTCTCCTGCTTGAGCAGGGGGCTGGACTAGGAGACCTCCAAGGTCCCTTCCAGCTTTATTCTGATTCACTTCTGGATTATTAAAGCAGCCACCTCATTTACCAGGCTCATATGAGTTTCTGTCATATAAACCCGTCCCCAGGCATAGCTCAATGCATAGTACTCGTCCCATTGGCGACATTAAGGCAAGTGGACTTCAACTCCCAGCGTTGCTGGCTGGGGAATTCTGGGAGTTGAAGTCCACTTGGCCAATTCTAGGAATGTCTACCCACCTATATCCCAGCTGGCTTCGGCCCGCCGAATGGTGGCAAAACTTGGCTTGCTGCTCTGCAGGGGAGGGTGAGGCCTCCATCCTCTTTGCCCTAGGTGGGTTTAAAAAACAACAACAATCCATCAGTACCACACACTGTCTTAGAAATCAGGAGATGGGGAGTTCTAGTCCTGCCTTAGGCTGGGTGACTTTGGGCCAATCACCAAGAGACGGTGAGTTCTAGTCCCACCTTAGGCATGAAAGCCGGCTGGGTGGGCCAATCACCAGGAGACTGGAAGTTCTAGTCCCGCCTTAGGCATGAAAGCCTGCTGGGTGACTTTGGGCCAATCACCAGGAGACTGGAAGTTCTAGTCCCGTCTTAGGCATGAAAGCCTGCTGGGTGACTTTGGGCCAGTCACCAGGAGACTGGGAGTTCCAGTCCCACCTTAGGCATGAAAGCCGGCTGGGTGGGCCAATCACCAGGAGACTGGAAGTTCTAGTCCTGCCTTAGGCACAAAAGCCAGCTGGGTGACTTTGGGCCAATCCCCAGGAGACTGGAAGTTCTAGTCCCGCCTTAGGCATGAAAGCCTGCTGGGTGACTTTGGCCCAATCACCAGGAGACTGGGAATTCTAGTCCCGCCTTAGGCACAAAAGCCAGCTGGGTGACTTTGGGCCAGTCCCTCTCTCTAAGCCCAACCCACCTCACAGGGTTATCGTTATGGGGAAAACGGGAGCAGGAAGGTGTACGGAGTAGTTTCACCGCTTCGATTTACTTATAAAGTCATAAAGGCAAGATTAAAAGAAAAATCTAATAAATAAATAAATCCAATAGTACTTTTAGGAAGGAGGTCCTTTTGGGTAGCCCTTCCTCTTTTGACTGGCGTGATTTTAAGCCGCAGACCCCTGGGAGTCACCCATGCTTCAAAAGAGCTTCCTTGGACCACATGGTGCTCCCAGAGTCATGTATGCGAGGGGAGGGGAAAACGAGCCGAGAAGGCGGGATAAGTCTGCCCACCTGTGTCGTCGGAGGATCGCCTTCTCTGCTGCTCCCGTAAACTTCCTGTCCTTTGTTCCATTTCAACGCTCTAACCAAGGAAGAAAGATGATGAACTGCACACCACGGACAAGAATAACAGAATCGCAGAGCTGGGAGGGACCCTGGAGGTCATCTAGTCCAACCCCCTGCTCAAGCAGGAGACCTTATGCCATTTCAGATCTGGCTGTCCAGTCTCTTCTTAAAAATGAGGAGGAGGAGGAGGAGGAGGAGGAGGAGGAGGAGGAGGAGGAGGAGGAGGAGGAGGAGGAGAACACAGTTGGTGTCAACATCCAGCTCGTGAATCCAAACCAAACTCTGGCTTCTTTCCGTTTCCAAAAATCTTACTGTTTATTGAATACACTGCATGGCAATGTCGAAACGAAACTAACTCCGAGGTTCCCAGACACCAGTTCATAGAATTAAACAATAATTTCTCCTCTCCGGTAGCCCATGTAAACAATTTCACTTTGTTACGGGAACCATCTGCTTCTTCTCCACACCTGCTGCGGTGTCCTTGGGGAGGTTTCAGACTCTCTCACGGGTCTTCAGCAGAATCATAGAGGTTTCGTTTCTCCAGCTAACCCGGGAGTGTCAAACTCGCCGCATCATGCAATGTGTCGGGATGTATCGCGACTTTTCTCCCCCTTGCTGGAGCTGGGGTGGGCGTGGCTTCCGCGTGACGCATCCGGCCCGCGGGCCGGCAGTTTGATATCCCTGATCTAATCCATTCTAAAGCAACACACACACACCCTGTGATGACCCAGGGCACAGCACAGAGGCAACGTAGTCAGCTGGCAATTCAAACTGCCCTTTAATGCTCCAAATTTTCCCCAAATGCTCCCACGTTTCTGGCAAGCCTCCAAACACAAGAAGACAAACCTTCAGCCACCTGTGGCTGCAAGCAGTTTCACATACAGTCTGATTAGGAGAGGAATTTACTCAAGGCCACGGAGATAACAAGGAATGACGCATACATCGTAAACCTAACGAGTCTGGGTGAATACACGCTTGTCTAAGCAGTTTCAAAAGGGAAGCCAAAATACAGAGATCTTTGAACATCCAAGCAACACTGTCAGCCAGTCCAATGGTCAGAGTGTCCGGGTTTCAAGCAGAAGTCACAGAACAAGAGATCAGCAGCAACAACAACAACACACACACACACACAAACACACACTTCCAAAGAATCAGCGTTTGTTCCCGACAAATGCCTCTCCCCACAGCGTCTCCTTAAATCTCAGTCTCCAGGTGTGCCTTATGGAGAGGGGCAGGACGCTCTCCTCCCGAGTAGTTGAGCCTGCCTGCGTTGTTCCCTCCTCTCCACGCTCTAGGACAGCGGTTCTCAACCTGTGGGTCGGGACCCTATTTGGGGTCGAACGACCATTTCACGGGGGTCGCCAAACAACGCAGTCCGGCATTTTTTCCTCCTTTTCTTCAGCTGTGCTACTCCTTTTTATTCTATTGGCTTTTGAAAGCCAATAGAATAGACTCTCTTGAATAGAGTCTAATTCTATTGGCTTTCAAAAGCCAATAGGAATTGTCCAGGCTGTCTCTGCCCTGCTGAGCCCGCCAAAAGTCCCATTCTGCAAACGGTGCTGCAAGTTGTCTGCAGCGAAGGCAACTTGCAGCACCGTTTGCAGAATGGGACTTTTGGAAGTTTCCACCCTTCCCTGCTGAGCAACTACTAAAAATGTAAGTAAAAGAGGGCCAGGGGTGGGAGGTGGGAGGTGGGAGGCCGGCGGGCGCAGGGAGGGTTGCTGGCGCGCGTGAGGCCCGGCGGGTGCCTTGCCTCCCTTGGGCTGGGCCAGCTGGTGGCCCAGCCGGTGGTCGACCTGCTCCGTCTCTGCCGCTTGCCAGCTATGCCTTGGCCGGCGCAGGGGGTGGCACCACGCATGCGCGGCGCTCCCGGGCAGGGAAAGTCCTCGATTTACAACTGGTTTAGTCCTCGACTTACGACCGGTTGAGTAGTCCTCGACTTACGACCGGTTGGGGGTCGTGGCATTAAAAAGATTGAGAACCACTGCTCTAGGAATAGGTGGGGATGGCCCTTGCTCATCACCTGAACTCTGCCTCTCCTGTTCCTCCTGTCCCAATCCTGGCGGGCCCTGGCTTGCCTCGGCCTGCCGTTCCCCACATTCCTCTGAAACCACAGACCCCTCCCCCTCGACCTCCGTAGGATCCCGTTCCAGCTGATTTTCCTCCGTAGATTCAGGCTCCGACGGAGGCATGACACCCCCCTCTTACTCTAATGGCAAGTTTTATTCTTCATATGGGTTTTTTTTCCCCCGTGATAGAGAATTACCTCTAGCTTAGCATCCAGACTCCACCCTTTTGCACGTTCCATTCCCGGCAGCGGCACTCCTTGGACGCGCGACGGCTGTAAGAACTCGGTCCTCCGTCCGTCCGTCGGTGCCCTCTCTGAATCAGGAGTGGAAATCTTGTTTCGGAAGGAAAGGGGATTTAAAAGGGGGGGGTCTTTCGCGTCCCGGCCCTTACCCCGGAAATACATTTCCGTACCTGTTTGGAACAGCCTGGGAGGCCTTTGACTCTGCTTCCAGGCGCTGTTGCGGTCGCCATTCCCGGAAGCAGCATGGTTCCCCCCGCCATGTCCTGGTCCAGTTTCCACTCTTTCTCGTGGGCGACGGAGTACATCAAGGGCTTCGGGTCCTCCCCTCCCAGGGGAGGCGGGGGAGGATTGGGGGGCAGATCGTCGGAGTCTCGCTCTCCCTTGATGCTGCGGTACCGGCGGAAATGGAAGAGTCCCTTTTTCCTCTTCCTTTGTAGAGGTGGGAGGGAATCGGACAGGCCTGGCCGTACCGCACAGCTCTCAGATATCCGAGGATAGCTGGGCGGGAGAGAAACGGCGGAACTAAGAGAGCAGAAAGTGATTTTGGAGAAAAATGTAAGATACATGCGTAGTCCTCAAATTATGACCACAACTCAGCCTGAAATTTCTATGGCTAAGCGAGACACTTCTCTCCCTTCTTCTTTCCTTCCTTCTTTCCTTCCTTCCTTTCCTCATTCCTTCCTTCCTTCCTCCCTCCTTCCATCCCTCCTTCGCTCCCTTCCTTTTTTTCTCCCTTCCTCCCTCCCTTCTTTCCTCCCTCCCTCTCTCCTTTTTTCCTTTCTTCCTTCTCTCCCTCCCTCCCTCCCTTCTCACTACCTCCCTCTCTCCCTTCCTTCCTCCCTTCACTCCTTCCCTATCTTCTCTCCCTCCCTCCCCCTCTCCCTTCCTTCTTTCCTCCCTCCCTCCCTTCTTTCCTCCCTCCCTCGCTCCCTCCCTTCTTTCCTCCCTCCCTCCCTCCTTTTTTCCTTTCTTCCTTCTCTCCCTCCCTCCCTCCCTTCTCTCACTACCTCCCTCTCTCCCTTCCTTCCTCCCTTCACTCCTTCCCTATCTTCTCTCCCTCCCTCCCCCTCTCCCTTCCTTCTTTCCTCCCTCCCTCCTTCTTTCCTCCCTCCCTCGCTCCCTCCCTTCTTTCCTCCCTCCCTCCTTTTTTCCTTTCTTCCTTCTCTCCCTCCCTCCCTCCCTTCTCACTACCTCCCTCTCTCCCTTCCTTCCTCCCTTCACTCCTTCCCTATCTTCTCTCCCTCCCTCCCTCCCCCTCCCTTCCTTCTTCCTTCCTCCCTTCTTTCCTTCCTTCCTTCTTTCCTTCCTTTCCTCCCTCCCTCCCTCTTTCTTTTCTTCCTTCTCTCCCTCCCTCCCTCCCTCCCTCTCTCCTTTTATCCATCCAATTTATTGGCCAACCATCTTGCAACGTTAAAATGAAACGACAGAAATAAAATACAGGTAACTCCTCGGCGAACGACAACGGAGGCCCCAAATTCTCTTGTTACGTGAGGCATTTGTGAAGTGAATTTTGTCCTGTTTCACAACCCTTTTCCCCCCCATGTTGTTAAGTGAATCACTGCAGGGCACGATTGTTCAGCGAATCTGGCTTCCCGGTTGATTTTGCTTGGCAGAAGGTCGCCCAAAAAAGGGATCACGTGACCCCGGAACGCTGAGACCATCATAAATGTGAGTCGATCACCAAGTTATCTGCATTTTGATCACGTGACCAGGGGGATGCTGCAACGGCTGTAAGTCACTTTTTTCAGCGCCGTTGTAGCTTCCAACGGCCACTGAACGAGCTGTTGTTAGTGGAGGACTAGCTGTAACTAGCTGCATTAGGGAGATATTCAAAGACGACAGTAGGAAAGACGCTGAAGCTAAATTGGGAACGGCTTTTCCCCCAGGCTGATCTTAGCAAAGACAGAATCACAAGAGTTGGAAAGGACCTCAGAGGTCTTCTAGTCCAACCCCTCTGCTCAAGCAGAAGATCTTATACCATTCCAGACAAAGGGCTGTCCAATCTCTTCTTAAAAACTTCCAATGATGAAGCACCCAAAACCTCTGGTGGCAAGTCGTTCCACTGGTTAATTGTTCTCACTGTCAGGAAATGACTCCTTAGTTCTAGGTTGCTTCTTTCCTTAGTTAGTTTCCATCCATTGCTTCTTGTCCTGCTTTCAGCCGCTTTGGAAAATAGCTTGACTCCCTCTTCTTTGGGGCAGCCCCTGAGAGATTGGAAGGCTGCTATCATGTCCCCCCTCATCCTTCTCGTCATTAAACTGGACATACCCAATTCCTGCAACCGTTCTTTGTATGTTTGTTGCTCTTCTCTGCACTCTTTCTAGAGTCTCAACATCTTTTTTACATCGTGGCGACCAAAACTGGATGCAGTATTCCAAGTGTGGCCTTACCAAGGCCTTGTAAAGTGGTATTAACACTTCACGTGATCTTGATTCTATCCCTCTGTTAATGCAGCCCAGCACTGTGTTGGCCTTTTTGGCTGCTGCAGCACACGGCTGGCTCCTATTTAAGGGATTGTCCACTAGGACTCTGAGGTCCCTCTTCCAGTTGCTGCTATTGAGCAAGGTACCACCTATACCAGGGGTTGGCTCTTTTATGACTCGTGGACTTCAACTTCCAGAATTCCTGAACCAGCATGGCTCAACTTGGAAACCTCTCCCTTTCCTCTCAGCATGGCTGGCTCAGGAATTCTGGGAGTTGAAGTCCACCAGTCATAAAAGAGCCAAGGTTGCCTACCCCTGCCCTATACTATACCTGTACATTTGGTTTTTCTTGCCTGATTGAATGACATCAACTCTGCCCCAGAGAGAACTGTACTCGGCTCACCTTATTGTGTTGCTCAGGACTCTCCGGTTGAAAAACTCATCCAGACCCTCATCCAGTCTGGGCACCAACCCGTTCTCCTGTTCTCTGGATTCCAGGGAACGAAAAAGTCGGTTCTGGAAAAGAAGAAAAAAAAACACCTGGGCCTGTTAATTCTTCCCATAGATTAACTGGGGCCTGGGAGAGGGAATTAAAAGAGAACCCATACATAAAAGAGGAGGAAGATTTGAAAGTATTTGGATTGCGATCCAAAAGGTGTTTTTTTCACGAGGCAACTTGTCCTTGTTTTTCTTTGAAGACGTTTCGCTTCTCATCCCAGAAGCTTCTTCAGCTTTGACTGGATGGTGGGGAATGAGAGGATTTATACTCCTTGCAGACAGCTGGTCATTTGCATCGTTTTAGCAAGTCGTTGAGACCACTTGGAGGTTTACCCGTATGCGCAGGGTCACCCGAGCGGTGCAAATGGGTGTGCAGCCTTCTTGGGATTGCTGAAAGGACTGTGTGGTAGACTGGAGATAGATGGTGTCGTGTCCCCCCGCCCCCCGTTGTGAGAGGGCTGTGCAATTTTGACCTAGATGGCCTCTTGGACCCCTCTTTCAAGCCAGCGGTCCTCTCTGTCCAGAATGTGGACTTTGCTGTCTTCGAAAGAGCGGCCTTCGTCTTCTAAAGGCAGATGGACGGCTGAATCTTGTCCTGATGGGTTTGTTATCCTGTGGTGTGCCCTGTGTTTGTGAAGTGGTTGTGATAAGATAAGATAAGATAAGATAAGATGAGATGAGGTGAGGTGAGGTGAGGTGAGGTGAGGTGAGCTGAGGCGAGGCGAGGCGAGGCAAGAAAAGAGGATAAGATAAGGTAAGGTAAGGTAAGGTAGGATAAGATAAGGTAAAATAAGGTAAGGTGAGGTGAGGTAAGGTAAGAGAAGGCAACGCAACGCAAGGCGAAGATAAGATAAGATAAGATAAGATGAGATGAGATGAGGTGAGGCAAGAAGATAAGGTAAGGTAAGGTAAAGTAAGGTAAGGTAAGGTGAGATGAGATAAGAGAAGGTAAGAGAAGGCAAGGCAAGGCGAAGATAAGATAAGATAAGATAAGATAAGATAAGATAAGATGATGAGATGAGATGAGATGAGATGAGACGAAGCGAGGCGAGGCGAGGCAAGAAGATTAGATAAGGTAAGGTAAGGTAGGATAAGATAAGATAAAGTAAGGTAAGGTAAGGTGAGGTGAGGTGAAATGAAGTGAGGTAAGGTAAGGTGAGATGAGATGAGGTAAGGCGAGGTGAGGCGAGGCAAGAAGATAAGATAAGGTAAGGTGAGATAAGGTAGGATAAGGTAAGGTAAGGTGAGGTGAGGTGAGGTGAAATGAAGTGAGGTAAGGTAAGGTGAGATGAGATGAGGTGAGGTAAGGCGAGGCGAGGCAAGGCAAGAAGATAAGATAAGGTAAGGTGAGATAAGGTAGGATAAGGTAAGGTGAGGTGAGGTGAGATGAGATGAGATAAGAGAAGGCAAGGCAAGGCAAGGCGAAGATGATAAGATAAGATAAGATGATAAGATAAGATAAGATAAGATAACCTTTATTGTCATCTTTTACTGTGGGCACAACGACACACATCAAAAATGAAATTTAGTTGCCCGCTTTCAAAGTGATCTGCACATGGGTCACTGCATTGTACTACATATACCATATTTCTCAGTTTGTGTCTAGGTGTTTTATCCTCGGGGTGGACAGGCTTCTGCCTTAGTGTATTGGTGGGCTTGAAGTGTGCACATGTGTTGTGTTGGCTGAAGATCCTCCTATCCTGAGCTTTTCCCGATATTCCTGCAACCTGTGGAATGACTATGTTGAGGGCTACATTCTTTGGCTACAGGAAGCTTTCACACATTCCACACTCATTTGCACCACTCAGGGGACCCTGAGGACAGACAAACCTCCAAGTGGCCTCAACGACTCCCTAAAAGGAGGCAAATGACCAGCTGTCTGCAAGGAGTACAAATCCTGCCATTCCCCACCATCCAGTCAGAGCTGAAGAAGCTTCTTGGATGAAAAGTGAAACGTCTTCAAAGAAAAACAAGGAAGTCCAGTTGCCTTAAAAAAGCAACTTTGGGACAACTGAGGACTCAGATAAACCTCCAAGTGGCATCAACGGTCCTCTAAAACAGTGGTTCTCAACCTGTGGGTCGGGACCCCATTTGGGATCGAACGACCATTTCACGGGGGTCGCCAAACAACGCAGTCCGCCATTTTTCCCCCTTTTCCTTAGCTGTGCTACTCCGTTTTATTCTACTGGCTTTTGAAAGCCAATAGAATAGACTCTCTTGAATAGAGTCTAATTCTATTGGCTTTCAAACGCCAATAGGAATTGTCCAGGCTGTCTCTGCCCTGCTGAGCCCGCCAAAAGCCCCATTCTGCAAACGGTGCTGCACTAGTTGAGTAGTCCTCGACTTACGACCGGTTGAGTAGTCCTCGACTTACGACCAGTTGGGGGTCGCGGCATTAAAAAGGTTGAGAACCACTGCTCTAAAAGAATGCAAATGACCAACTGTCTGCAAGGAGTATAAATCCTTCCATTCCCCACCATCCAGTAGAGCTGAAGAAGTTTCTTGGATAAGAAGCAAAACATCTTCAAAGAAAAACAAGGAAGTCCAGTTGCCTTTAAAAAGCAACTTTGGGACAACTGAGGACTCAGATAAACCTCCAAGTGGCCTCAACGGCCCTCTAAAAGAATGCAAATGACCAACTGTCTGCAAGGAGTATAAATCCTTCCATTCCCCACCCTCCAGTCAGAGCGGAAGAAGCTTCTTTTATGAGAAGGGAAATGTCTTCAAAGAAAAACAACGAAGTCCAGGTGCCTCCTCCAAAAAAGCACCTTTGGGACTATTAACCCTTCACATGGTCAGGCAGGAGAAGGAGGAAAGAGATACTTTGGACAAGGTACTCACACTGGAGCGGAAGCGGGTCGAACGAGGCGGCCGGGGTCTGCCGCACGTCCGGTGCTCAAGCCGAGTCCCGTCTGTGGGCAGCTCACAAAACCCATCGAAGGAGGCGCTGTGCGAATAGGGGTAGGGAGTGTTGCCCACGAGAGCGATCCACCCCAGAGGTGAGCTCATATTAGCAGTCGCGAGGTCGCTGTCCTGTTCCGATCCACCTGCAAGCGGAGAGAGGCCGTTAAGTCATTGCAGTCCTAAGTTGAGGCGTCACGTGACTGGACTCCATTTTACGACGGTCGTTTCGGTGAATCCTGTTGAGCGAATCCAGCATATCCAATGGGTAGTTTGGGCCGTTTTCGGTCAAAGAGAAAAAAAAAATGAGGGATTTGTGCTGAAAAGGGCTGTTTTAAGCTCAAAACCCTTTTTTCGTTGCCCGGATACAAGCAGTCCTTGACTTATGACCACCCCTGAGCAGAACCTTTCTGTTGCTAAGTGAAACATTTGTGAAGTGAGCTTGGCCCCGTTTTGCGACCTTCCTTGCCACCGTTGTGAAGGGAATCATGCTAGTTGTTAAATTAGTCAAACGATCGTGAAGTGAATTCCGGCTTCCCGATTGACTTGGCTTGTAAGAAAGTAGCAAAAGGGGATCACGTGATGCCCCTGGGACATTGCGACGGTCATAAATAGGATGCCAAGCGTTGGATTTTTGATCATATGACCGTGGGGATACTACAACGGTCGTTACGTGTGAAAAACAGTCACAAGTCACGTTTTTCAGTGCCGTTATAACTTTGAACGGTCACTAAGCGAATTGTTTTAAGTCGAGGACTGCTTGTAATACAAGGATGGGACACCACTAGGAAATCCTAGTGAGGTAAACGAGATGGGGACTCACAGTCTGGAGGAATCTTACCCTAAAAAGAACAGGGGTGTGTTTGTTGAAATCATCAGGAACTGAGGTCCCTTTTAGGTGGTTAGTTTTAGCTAATTTTAGTTCCTTGGAAAAAGGAAAAAGAGACCACCAGAAAATCCTAAATTTTCCCTCAGAAATTACCGGAAGAGAAACATGAATTGCCAGAGATGAAAGAGCATTTAACCCCCTTCTCTTTAGATCAGTGTTCTTCAACCTCAACGACTTTAAGATGTGTGGACTTCAACTCCCAGAATTCCTAGGGGAATTTTGGCTGGGGAATTCTGGGAGTTGAAGTCCAGACGTCTTCTAAAGTTGCTGAGGTTGTGAAACACTGCTTGAATGGCTGGTTTGTTACAAATTAGATCAGGGGTCTTCAAACCTGGCCCTTTTAGGACTTGTGGACTTCAACTCCCAGAATTCCCTCAGAAATTACCGGAAGAGAAACATGAATTGGCAGAGAAGAAAGAGCATTTAACCCCCTTCCCTTTAGATCAGTGTTCTTCACTAAATGAATGGTTGTAAACCCAAGGACTAACTGTACTGAGTGGGGAAGCTCACTGAACCCATTTGGAAGCTAAAGCAGAATTTACAGGAACAATAACGCCCTATCAGACCAGCAAACAAATGAGTCGTCTCGGGAAATCGATTAGGATAACTCTGACCAAGATTAATTGCAATATTTTACAGCTTCTTTAAGGTAACCATCAATTTACGACCACAAAGGCGCCAAAAATTTCAGCCGTTTAGATCTCTGCCGTTGTTAAGTTAGTCAACACGGTGGTTAAGTGAATCCGGTTTCCCGCCATTGACTTGTCAGAAGGACATAAAACGGGATCACAGGAGCCTAAAACCCTACAACCGTCCTAAGTACATGCCAGTTGCCAAGCGTTTGAATTTTGATCAGGTGAGCATGGGGATGCTGCAGCAGTCGTAAGTGCGGAAAGCGGTCCTAAGTCACTTTTTCCAGTGACGTTGAAACTTCGGTCGCTAAGCGAATGGTTCTAAGTGGAGGCCGACCTCTCTGGATTAAAGAACGGTGGCTACGAAAGTCGTTGTTGCACTCACTAATGAAGGCAGAAGCCGGCCTGATCCTGCGGCAGTTCTTCTGTCTTTTGATCGCCATGGTGTCCTGCAGGAGAGAACACAGAACAACAGTGTTGGAAGAGACCTCAGAGGTCTTCTAGTCCAACCCCCTGCTCAGGCAGAAGACCCTCGACCATTTCAGACAAATGGCTGTCCAGTCTCTTCTTCAAAACTTCCAGAGTTGGAGCATTCACAGCTTCTGGTGGTGAGCTGTTCCACTGGTTAATTGTCCGCACTGTCAGGAAATTCCTCCTTAGTTCTAGGTTGCTGCTCTCCTTGATTAGTTTCCACTCGTTGGTTCTTGTCCTGCCTTCGGGTGCTTTGGAGAACAGCTTGACTCCCTCTTCTTTGGGGCAGCCCCTGAGATACTGGAACACTGCTATCATGTCCCCCCTCGTCCTTCTCTTCATTAAATTAGACATACCCAATTCCAGCAACTGTTCTTTGTATGTTTTAGCCTCTAGTCCCGTGATCATCTTTGTTGCTCTTCTCTGCACTCTTTCCAGAGTCTCAACATCTTTTTTGCATTGTGGTGACCAAAACTGGATGTTGCATTCCACATTTGGCCTTACCACAAGGCTTTATGAAGCAGTATTAACACTTCATGTGATCCCGATTCTATCCTTCTATTAATGCTGCCTAGGATTATGTTGGCTGTTTTTGCTGCTGGCACACATAGCTGACTTGTATTGAAGCGGTTGTCCACTTAAATAGGAGCCCACCCAGAGCCAGCGAGAGAAACATGTCGGTCACGCTTCAACTTAACGCTTAACCAGTGGAACTGTGAGCAACCTGGAATTAAGGAAAAACTTCTGAAAAAACAGTAGAACAGCTCGCCACCAGAAATCGTGGGCGCTCTATCACTGGAAACTGGGACAGTCACTTGTCTGAACTGGTATAGGTTCTCCTGCTCAAACAGGGGGCTGGACTAGAAGACCTCCGAGGTCCCTTCCAGCTCTATTCTATTTTAAAGTCTGCACAAGGGCAGGACTTGCAAAAACCAGGGAATCCCGCCTGAGTAAAGTCGGAACCACTTACGATGTTGGAATCCAGCTCATGGTCGGTGAACTCTTTTGGTCCCTGGAGTTGGGGTTTCCCCGGATGTTCGGGAAGGATCACGCTATCCTGACCGTCCGAAAGTCGGTGGAGATGGGTGATGTGCTGAGCCTGGGGTTGGAAGGAGGAGAGAAGGAAGATGGAGGCTATCAGCTTGGGATCACCCTGATAACAGGTCTGCAGTACCAGTGCTGAACACAAGGAGGTGGTTTAAATATGTACAGTAGTGGCCAAAATTGTGGAAACCTTTTGGGAAAAATGTACAGTAGAAATGCCACCTTTGGTTAAGTTTCCACCCGTTTTTCTTCTCATTTCTTTATAACTGTAGCCTTGTTCACCTAATAATACTATTTTACATCACTTTCTGGGCGACCAGTCAACTCTTTGCACCTGTACTTTAATTTTATTACGTTTTACAAGCTCACTAAATTAGTGGTTCTCAACCGGTGGGTCGGGACCCCATTTGGGGTTGAATGACCATTTCACGGGGGTCGCCAAACAACGCAGTCCGCCATTTTTCCCCCCTTTTCCTTAGCTGTGCTCCTCCCTTTTATTCTATTGGCTTTTGAAAGTCAATAGGATAGACTCTCTTGAATAGAGTCTAATTCGATTGGCTTTCCAAAGCCAATAGGAATTGTCCAGGCTGTCTCTGCCCTGCTGAGCCCGCCACAAGTCCCATTCTGCAAACGGTGCTGCACCAGTTGAGTAGTCCTCGACTTACGACCGGTTGAGTAGTCCTCGACTTACGACCGGTTGGGGGGGGGCTGCGGCATTAAAAAGGTTGAGAACCACTGCACTAAATGAAAGAACAGGAAAAAACCCAATCAACTCGACAGCGATCCCATAACACACTGACAAATGTCCTCCTCTCAGCTTCAATACACGACATCAATCACTGAATCTTTCTGTGATCTGATTGGCTCATGGCCAAAACAAGATGACACCCGATTGGCTCTCTAAACACTCGCGCTCATTGGCTACCATCAGACGAAGGGAAGCTACCTGTGATCAACCTAAGCAAGTTGTGCTTCCTTTTTCGGGGTTATTTGGCTATAACTTTTCATAGAATGCAGTGCAGACAATTGAACAGACTTTGTTGCATGACGTTCTTGATTAAATGATCTTTCCACTGATATGTAATTTTATGATACTACTCCCCCCCAAAAAAAAGGGGGTGTTATTAGCCATCAAACCTCAAAAATATACTTTTCCCAAAAGGTTTCCACAATTTTGGCCACTACTGTGTATATGTAAAGTGCATGGATGCCACTTCCGGAAGTCCATTCAAGGCCTTGGTGGCCCAGGCCTGCATCCACGCAGAGAACCAGTTGTTTAGATATTTGAATCCCACCACTGTGTGTGTGTGTGTGTACATTACATATGTATGTATGTATGTATGTATGTATGTATGTATGTATGTAGTCCTCGGCTTACAACAGTTTGTTTAGTGACCGTTTGAAATTACAACGGCGCTCAAAAAAGTGACATGACCGTTTCCCCCATCCCTTACGACTGTAGCCATGTCCTCATGGTCACATGATCAAAATTCGGACGCTTGGCATCTGGCTCATATTTACGACGGTCGCAGCGTCCCCGGGGTCATGTGATCCCCTTTTGTGACCTTCTGACACGCCAAGTCTCTGAGGAACCATGCTACTTAAAAACTGCAGGGATTCGCTGTGGCAAGAACGGTCGTAAATTGGGGCCAAGCTCGCTTGACAAACGTCTCGCTTAGCGGGAGAAAGGTTCCGCTCCACTGCAATCGTTAAGCCGAGGACTACCTGTATCCAGGGGTTCTGCTGCCAATACCGGAACTTCCTCATGTCTCCCATCCAACTACCAACCAGGTCCGACCCTGCTGAGCTTCCCGACTCCAAACAAAGAACAACGGGGAGGGGGGGGAATTCTGAAACGCTGAGGCGGCAGGCCCCAAATCGGAATTGAAGTCATGACACGGAAGTGAGGGATATGGCTCAGATCATCCTCACCAGGTTCTTGTGAGCGTAGTACAACTCCTCCAGAAGTTCCTCCACAATGGTGTTGGTGAGATACGTCACCACGGAGAGCTTCACTTCACTAGGGAAGAATTCAGGTGGAAGAACATCAGAGGGTGAATAACAAAGCAACAGAATCCACAGAGCTGGAAGGGACCTTGGAGGTCTTCTGGTCCAACCCCCTGCTCATATAGGAGACCCTATACCAGGGGTAGGCAATCTTGGCTCTTTTATGACTCGTGGACTTCAATTCCCAGAATTCCTGAGCCAGCATGGGGGAACTATGGCCCCCTCATGACTCGTGGACTTCAACTCCCAGAATTCCTCAGCCAGCATGGGGGAACTATGGCCCCCTCATGACTCGTGGACTTCAACTCCCAGAATTCCTGAGCCAGCATGGGGGAACTATGGCCCCTTCATGACTCATGGACTTCAACTCCCAGAATTCCTGAGCCAACATGGGGGAACTATGGTCCCTTCATGACTCGTGGACTTCCAGAATTCCTGAGCCAGCATGGGGGAACTATGGCCCCCTCATGACTCGTGGACTTCAACTCCCAGAATTCCTGAGCCAGCATGGCTCAGCTTGGAAACCTCTCCCTTTCCCCTCAGCATGGCTGGCTCAGGAATTCTAGCAGTTGTGGGTGCTCCAAGACTGGAGGTTTTTAAGAAGAGATTGGGAAACCATTTGTCAGAAAAGGTATAGGGCAGGGGTAGGCCATCTTGGCTCTTTTATGACTGGTGGACTTCAACTCCCAGATTTCCTGAGCCAGCCTGGCTCAGCTTGGAAACCTCTCCCTTTCCCCTCAGCGTGGCTGGCTCAGCAATTCTGGGAGTTGGTCCACCAGTCATAAAAGAGCCAAGGTGGCCTACCCCTGCCCTATACCTTTTCTGACAAATGGCTGCCCAATCTCTTCTTAAAAACCTCCAATCTTGGAGCACCCACAGCTTCTGGAGGCAGGTCGTTCCACTGGTTAATTGTTCTCACCGTCAGGAAATTTCTCCTTAGTTCTAGGTTGCTTCTCTCCTTGATCAATTTCCATCCATATTATTTCTTGTCTTGCCTTCTGGTGCTTTGGAGAATAGGTGGACCCTTCCTCTTCTTGTGACAGTCCCCTCAAATATTGGAAGACTGCGATCATGCCTCCCTTAGACCTCCTTGAAGTACCCTGCTTGTTTTCTGATGCTCAAGATGACACGCTCACATGGTTATTACCTTGATCTGGAACCCACCTCCACCACTGATATAGTAGTCGTAGCAAGAGCATTTAGATTTATATACCGTTTCAGAGTGCGTTATAGCCCTCTCTGAGCAGGTTAGAGTCAGCCTATTGACCCCTCAACAATCTGGGTCCTCATTTTACTGACCTCGGAAGGATGGAAAGCTGAGTCAACCTTAAGTCGGTCGGGATCGAACTCCTGGCAGTCGGCAGAGTTAGCCTGCAATTCGGCATTCTAACCACTGGGAGGGAGGGAGGGAGGGAGGGAGGGAGGGAAGGAAGGAAGGAAGGAAGGAAGGAAGGAAGGAAGGGAGGACACACTTGGAATATGGCATCAACTTTTGGTCACCATGATATAAAAAAGATGTTGAGACTCTAAAAAGAGTGCAGAGAAGAGCAACAAAGAGGATTAGGGGACTGGAGGCTGAAACAAGGAACGGTTGCTGGAATTGAGTATGTCTAGTTTAACGAAAAGAAGGATGAAGGGTGACATGATATCAGTGTTCCAATATCTCAGGGGCTGCCCCAAAGAAGAGGGAGTCAAGCTATTCTCCAAAATGCCTGGACAAGAATTAATGGATGGAAACTAACCAAGGAGAGAAGCAACCTAGAAGTAAGGAGAAACTTCCTGACAGTTAGAACAATTAACCAGTGGAACAACCTGCCTCCAGAAGCGGTGAATGCTCCACAGCTGTTGCCCACCCCCCCCCCCCAACAATCTGGGTCTTCATTTTACTGACCTTGGAAGGATGGAAGGCTGAGTCAACCTTGAGCCGATGAGAATTGAGCTCCAGGCAGTCGGCAGAATTAGCCTGCAATTCTGCATTCTAATCACAGTGACACCACGGCTCTTATAAGCCTTCCCTACAGCCCCCCCCCTTTTTTTTTAAATATACACCCCAATTCTTACTTCAGCTTGTTCTGGATGTCCTGTCCAGCTTGTTCCAGCAAAGCCCCTCGGATAAAGTTTCGGGGCAGGCTGATATGCTCGGAAACAGCTGCCAACATCTTGTGATGTTCTTCAGCGGCCTGGACGGCATGTGGACACAACTCCTGGGTTAGATCAACCATGGATTCCAAGATCATCTGGCAGAAAGAGAAACCACGAATCAGGGTTGTTGGAAGAGGGCGAGCAAGGAAATCGAGAGGGTCATCTTGAGTTCTTCACACCCACCAAAGATGCTCTTGATTTGGACACTCAAATTCCCAAGACCTAACAGCCTAGGATTTCCCATCAGGAGGACCTGTCACCATAAATAGCATGAACCTGTGAAAGGTGATTGTGGTGTCTTCTTCACCTGTAGTTCCTTGTCGACGGCTTTGGCCACTTCGTTGGCCATGGACTCCAGGCGGTGCCGCACGGGCCCATCACTGGCCAAGAGGTGCCCAAGTTCGTATAGGCTGGGAAAGAGCTGTAGGAAAGAGATGAGAAACAATGATTAAGAGTAGAGGTCCTCAAACCTAGCATCTTCAAGAAGGGTAGACCTCAACTTCAAGAAGTCCCCAGCCAAAAAAAGATGTTTACTGCAGAGGAAGGGACGTACATTTTCTCAAAGATTACTACAAGCATCAAGAATGGATTTACTGGTTGAAAGGGAAGCGCTTTTATGGAAGCCTATGTGGCATAGAAAGAAACCCAGAATTAGACTGAAAAAGAAATGTAAAAATGTTTAATGGAGTAAAAGGCAATGTTGATTTCATGGATTGTTTTAAGGATAATGATCTAGAGCTAGAACTAAGAAAAATGCAATTATATACACGCGTGTTTAAATTAGTAAGTGTTTAAATTGATTAGGTGATTTTTGTGTATAATAATATGATCTGATAAGGTATGATAATTAATTGGATGGAATTTGAAGTTTGTGTAATGAATTGAAAGGAATTAAGATTTAACATTATTACTTTTTTCTTTTTTCTCTTCTCTTAATCAAGTCAGTTATAACTATATACATATGTGTTTAAATTAATTAGATTTTTTTTCTTGTATATATATGTGTTCTGGAGTTGGAAAAAAATGTTCAGTCATGAGAATGTAATTTTGAAGTGTTTAAATTGATTAGGTGATTTTTGTCTATAATAATATGATCTGATTAGGTATGATAACTAATTGGATATCTGAAGTTTGAGTAATGAATTGAAAGGAATTAAGGTTTAACATTGTTTTTTTTAATTTAGTTATCACTGGAAGAAGAAATGAATGAGATTGGTGATAAGAAGAGGGTTGAGAGAGATTAAAAACTTCAATATACATGGTAGAGATACTTGAAGTGATAATTTGTTGATGTAAAACAATATTTGATTATGGTAATTTTAAATTGATAAAGCTTTAAAACAGGTGGAGTAGTAACAGAAATTTAAGCTAGAAATGGAATATATTAAATTAATTATGTTATTTGTGAGAAATAGAGAGATGATAATGAATGTATTAAGTTGAGCTGTTTAGGTATGTTTTTTTACCTTGAATTGTTTGTTTACCCAAACACCACGGTGTGTCTAAAGTACTCTTTGTTAAAATTAAAAAACCAATAAAATATACTTTTTTTAAAAAAAAGAAGTCCCCAGCCATCTCTGCTGGCTGTGGAATTCTGGGAGTTGAAGTCCACCCATCTTAAGTTGAAGTCTATCCTTCTGAAACTTGGTCCATCCTTCTTAAACTTAAACTTGAAGTTTAAACTTCTGAAATTTGGCCTATTTTTGTTAACAATGAAGTCCACCCTTAAACTTCGTCCACCCTTCTTAAACGTAAAGTCCACTCTTCCTAAATTTGAACTCCACCCTTCTTAAACTTGGTCCACTCTTCTTAAACCTGAACTCCACCTTTCTTAAAGTTGAAATCTATCCTTCTTAAAATTGAAGTCCACTCTTCTTAAACTTGACGTCTACCCTTCTAAAACCTGGTCCACCTTTCTTAAAATTGAACATCTTTCTTAAACATGAGGTCTATCTTTCTTAAACTTGGTCTACTCTTCTTGAAACTGAACTCCACCCTTCTTAAATTTGGTCCTTTTCTTAAACCTGAACTCCATCTTTCCTAAAATTGAGATCTATTCTTCTTAAAATTGAACCCTACCCTCCTTAAACTTGGCCCACCCTTCTTAAAATTGAACTCCACCTTTCTTAAACTTGAAGTCTACCCTTCTTAAAGTGTTGAGGTTGAGAAACCCTGCTTAAGAGGAACAAGTTTTCAGAGATGATTCGGCCATTTTTCCTTGACGACAACAGTATCGTTGGAAGACCTAAAAAGGCCAGGTAGGTTGAGGAAAATCTACCTCTACAGTTGGTGAGAGTCAACACCAACTGGATGGTACTTAATCGGCCAATCAATCCACCAACCAAACAATTTCCCCCTCCCCTATTCGTGGGATCCGAGAATGGGTGACCCTATGAATTCTGGGAGTTGAAGTCCACCACGTCTGAAATCACCAGATTATAGAATAAGAGTTGGAAGGGACTTTGGAGGCCTTCTAGTCCAACGCTGGAGACCCTATGCTATTTCAGACCAACGCTATCCAATCTCTTCTTAAAATCGGTCGTTCAGTACGAGGAATGGTTTGAAGTTACTTTTTTTCAGTGCTGTTGTAAATTCGTTGTAAACGAATGGTTGTAAATCAAGAACTATCCACCTAAGGAAAACAGTTTATCTTACCGCTCTGGAATTCTTGGCTTCTTTCATCAACTTCCGGGCATAAAGGACTTCTTCCTGGACAGAATCCTGCACGGAGCATGTTCGCAGGACCCGTAATTCCTCCTGAACCCGCACACAAAGCCGGCTCATCATCTAGCGACGGACAGGATAGGAGAATGTTAAATCTCACCACCCTGGACTTGGAAAATCCTCTGATGAAGTCTGTCCCCATGAATATCATCGGAGAACTCGGAGACTTTCGGGCCACCCCGAGCCCCACCCGCTCCTGCGTCCCCCTTGGTCACGTCTGCAAAGGCCCCGTGAGGTTAAGGATGGGCGGGAGAAGGAGGTCCAGGGAGATGGGAACGTTTACTTGCTCGGCGCTATGGGTGACGATTCCTTGGTGGAGACGGAAAGCTTGGTCCTGAGAGATCTTTGAAGAGTGGTTGTTCCGCAGCAGACACCACTGGATCTGAGAAGGGAGGAGAAGGTAGAACAGAACAGAACAGAACAGAACAGAACAGAACAGAATAGAATAGAATAGAATAGAATAGAATAGAATAGAATATATGGAGTGGAGTGGAGTGGAGTGGAGTAGAATAGAATAGAATAGAAATAAGGAATAGAATAGCATAGCATAGCATAGCATAGAATAGAATAGAAATAAGGAATAGAATAGAATAGAATAGAATAGAATAGAATAGAATAGAATAGAATAGAATAGAATAGAATAGAATAGAATAGAAATTAGAACAGAACACAACAGAACAGAGTAATAATGGACAGAATAAAATAGAATACAGAGTAGAGTAGAGTAGAGTAGAATAATAATGGATAGGATAGGGTAGAACAGAGTAGAGTAGAATAGAGTAATAATGGATAGAATAATACAGAATAGAGTAGAGTAGAGTAGAATAATAATGAATAGAATAGAATAGAATAGAATAGAATAGAATAGAATAGAAATTAGAACACAACACAACAGAACAGAGTAATAATGGACAGAATAAAATAGAATACAGAGTAGAGTAGAGTAGAGTAGAGTAGAATAATAATGGACAGGATAGGGTAGAATAGAGTAGAGTAGAATAATAATGAATAGAATAGAATAGAACAGAATAGAATAGAATAGAAATTAGAACAGAACACAACAGAACAGAGTAATAATGGACAGAATAAAATAGAATACAGAGTAGAGTAATAATGGATAGAATAAAATAGAATACAGAATAGAGTAGAGTAGAATAATAATGAATAGAATAGAATAGAATAGAATAGAATAGAATTATAGAATAGAATAGGAGTTGGAAGGGACCATGGAGGTCATCTAGTCCAACCCCCTGCTCAGGCAGGAAACCCTATATACCATTCCAGACAGATGGCTCTCCAGTCTCTTCTTAAAAGCCTCCAGTATTGGAGCATTCACCACTTCTGGAGGCAGGTGGCTCCACTGGTTAATTATTTAATAATGCCAGATCACTGGGCGTGGGCTCACCTTTTGCCAGATCTCGTCCGTCCTGTCGGGGGCGTTGCGGTAGGCTGTGGTGATGTCACTCATGGGCAAAGCCATAAACTTGAGCGTGTAGTTGCTGAAAAAGAACCCAGTCTGAAAAATCTGTCCCAAAGATGGAGGTTTTTAAGAAAAGACTGGACAGCCATCTATCTGACATGGTATATAGGGTCTCCTGCTTGAACAGGGGGTTGGGCTAGAAGACCTCCAAGGTCCCTTCCAGCTGTATTCTGATCAATTGATTCTCTCTCTCCAGGTGGACCTTCCTGCTCACTCACTTCTCCAAGGCCCGGGCAATGTCCTGGAAGCCTTGGGCGGTGGTCCCGTTCCTGTCCCAAGAAATGCTCCTACAAAGGAGAAAGACAGTCTGGTTTAGTGGTGACCCTTTGAGAGCGGAATGCAATGAGATTTCATTTTAATGTAGGCCGATTCAAAGTGACAATAAAGTTGGTCTATTCTGTTCTGTTCTATTCCATTCCATATATTGTTCTGTTCTGTTCTGTTCTACTCTGGTCTGTTCCATTCCATTCTATTCTATTCCCATTCCATTCTTATTACTTATTCTATTCTATTCTATTCTATTCTATTCTATTCTATTCTATTCCCATTCCATTCTTATTTCTTATTCTATTCTATTCTATTCTATTCTATTCTATTCTATTCTATTCTATTCTATTCTATTCTATTCTATTCTATTCTACTTTACTCTATTCTATTCCCATTCCATTCTTATTTCTAATTCTATTCTATTCTATTCCATTCCATTCCATTCCATATTTTCTCTATTCTCTTCTCTTCTCTTCTCTTCCATTCCATTCCATGCCTCAGTTGTGTCCTCTCGTCACCAGCCTCCATCTTTGGGGCTTCCGTCCACGGGCATTGACCTAACTCTCTGAAGTTCTCCGGGTCTTCTGACCTACCTCAGCGTGGTGTTGATCTGCAGAGCTTTGGACAACATCTTGGCCCCGAGATCTTCCATGCTGTTCCCGCTCAGGTCCACTTTGGTTAAGCAAGTGTTGCTCCCCAGAGCATTGATCAGGATGCTGCAGCGGCTTTTCAGCCGGGAATCGGCCACCGAGAAAGACTGTAAGGACTTTTTTTGGGGGGGGGGAGAGAGAGAGAGCGGAGGAGGAGAAGAGAAGGGGGGAGGCTAAGCAGCCAATCTGAATACCCTAAAAAACAACAACCAGATTCTACCCCTTCCCTTCACCCCAGAGACAATCATCACCAGAACCGCCTTCAATTGTTTGCTAGGAACAATTCAGAAGCCTTGTAAGTGCCATATTTCCTCGAAAATAAGACCCAACTGAAAATAAGCCCTATCATGATATAATAATAATAATAATAATAATAATAATAATAATAATAATGGGTTACAGGACTCAGGACTGTTGGCTGAGCAACCAGGGCCAGCAGCTGCAGAACTACTGGAAGAAAAGGTGTTTACCCGTCGCAGATACACAGTGATGGAAAACAAAGAAATAATGATCTGTTACTACAGATCAAGTCCAACAAGACGAGGATATCTAAAACGAATGCACCAATTCTGGAAAGAACAACATCCAGAATCAGAAATAACAGAACAGAGACGAGCAGATCAACGCCGATTTATAACACGAAATAAAATATTCACAGAAACAGAATTGGACGAACTGCAAAGGTTTACCCAGGGCAAAGAAATCAAAGCCTTACCAGAAGTAATTCAGAATGTAGAGGCAAACCAGGGGGAGTTGGCAGTGAAAGAATCCAGTAGAGATATACAACTGTTCTCATTTGGAAACCAGGCACCTCTTCCTCAGGAAGAACAAAACCCTCTAACTAAAGAAATAAAAGAATTGAAACCAAGAATAACTGAGCATCTAGAACAGCACAAAAACAACAGAATAAGGCTACCTGCATTGAAGCTTGTTCCAAAGAAACAGCTAGCACAAGCATTAAAAGATGCAAATATGCAATATCAAGTATAAGCACCAATTCATTGCAAGAAACAAACCAACTAATGTACAGCACGCTGCAGTTATAACAGAATACCTGGGATGCAAAATCAACAAAAAGAAAAACAAACAAACAGTGCACCAGAAAAATGGAAGGTTAGACTAGAAAATAAGATCAGCAAGTTAAGATCACATGCAAGCAAGCTAGAACAGATGAAAGAAAAGAAGCTGAAGAACAAGAAGACCAAAGAATACCTAATCAAGAAATACCACTTAGAAACAAGGAAGATCAAGGAAGCACTGGAAATAATCAAATAACAGCTATAGCCAGGAAAATCAGTAGATATGAAGCTCGAATTGCAAACTATAGGCAGAACCTCCAATTTCAATCCAATCAGAAACTCTACCAATCCCAATGGAGAAACTGCAAGAATCAGTCAGTACCTGACAAGGAAGAAACAGTGCAGTTCTGGAAGCAGATATTAACCCAAAGAAATACAACAAGGATGCGGCTTGGTTAAAAGAGGTGGATGCAAATAAAACAGAAGTTGAAATGAAAGAACTAGTAATAACAACAAAAATGGTAGAAAAAAGAGCAAAGAAAATCAAAAATTGGTCAGCACCAGGTGAAGATGAACTGCATGGGTTTTGGTTGAAACATCTAACTGTTATACACCCACTCATTGCCAAGCAGTTCAACAATATACTACAAGGAGGAGAAATTGAAAAGTGGCTAACAACTGGGAAAACCTACCTAATAATGAAAAATCCAGCAAAAGGGGCAACACCAGGTAACTACAGGCCAATTACCTGCTTACCAACAACTTTCAAATTACTAACTGGTGTAGTAGCTGATGCAGTGCAACAGCATCTAGTTGAAAACAATCTCTTTCCACCTGAGCAGAAAGGAAACCGCCCCAATAGCAGAGGAACAAAAGATCAACTCCTAATAGACAAAATGATCTTGGAAAACTGCAAGAGAAGGAAGACCAACCTGAATGTGGCATGGATTGACTACAAAAAGGCATTTGACTCTCTGCCACATGATTGGATAATAAGTGCCTAGAAATAACAGGAGTCAGTAGAAACATCAGAAAATTTGTGCAAAGATCGATGGCACAATGGAAAACACAGTTGCAGATCAATGGTGAAGGCTGGGAGAGGTTAATATCAAGAGAGGAATATTTCAAGGAGATTCATTATCACCATTACTATTTGTTATTGAGTCAACAATACTGAATAACTCAGGACATGGCTATCAAACATCAAAAACATCTGCCAGACTATCCCACCTCCTTTATATGGATGATCTGAAGCTGTATGGAAAAACATCATCTGAAATAGAATCGCTGTCAACACTGTCCGTATATATAGCCAAGATATTGTAAGTTTGGCTTGGACAAATGTGCCACACTTACTATCAAACAAGGTGAAAACTGAAGGAATCAAGATGCCCCACGAAAATAACATTAAGAGTCTGGATGAGGAAGAATACTACAAATACTTGGGTATCCTTCAAGCTGACAACATCAAGCACACTGATCAAGAAAAAGATTAGAGGTGAATACATCAAGAGAGTGAAGAAGATCTTAAAGTCCAAACTCAATGGAGGAAATACCATAAAGGCAATCAACACCTGGGCAATCCAGTCATTAGGTACACCGGGACTCAATCGAACTAAAAGCCAGACCAGAAAAATAATGACAATGAATCATGCCCTTCATACGCAGTGACATTGATAGACTTTATCTACCAAGGCAAATAGGGGGGAATGCTACAAGTACATCAGATGGTTGAAGAAGAAAAAATGGCTTTGGAAGAATATCTGAAGAACAATGATGAAGATGCACTGAAATTAGTATATCAGAAGGCTTACTAACTACTGGAGAGACCAAACTGGCCTACAAGGACCAAATGAAGAACAGAATAGAGGCATGGGAAGACAAAGCACTACATGGCCAATACATGAAAAAAATAGCTGGAAAGCAGATAACAATACCTGGCAATGGCTAAGAGCAGGAAAATTGAAGAAAGAGACCGAGGGACTAATTCTGGCTGCACAAGACCAAGCCTTAAGGACAAATGCATACAAAGTCAAAATTGAGAAGACAGCAACAGACAGTAAGTGCCGCCTATGCAAAGAAGCTGAAGAAACAGTGGACCACTTGGTAAGCTGTTGCAAGAAGATTGAGATTACAAGCAGCGGCATGACAAAGTAGCAACAATGGTGCATTGGAAGATCTGCAAAAAATATCATTTGCCTGTAAGCAAAAACTGGGATCATAAAATAGAGAAAGTCATAGAAAATGATAAAATTAAACTGCTCTGGGACTTCAGAATTCAAACAGACAAGCACCTGCAACATAACACCCCAGACTTAACAATTGTCGATAAGAAAGACAAAAAAGTCTGGATAGTGGATGTGGCAGTGCCTGGAGATAGCAGAATTGGAGAAGATAACAAAATACAAAGACCTACAAATAAAATAGAAAGACTGTGGCAAAAGCAAGCAAGGGTAGTACCAATAGTCATAGGCTCCTTGGGTGCAATCCCAAAACAACTGGAGCACCACTTGAACACCATTGCATTGACAAATTCGCTATTAGTCAATTGCAAAAGGCGGCCTTATAGGAACTGCTTCCATCCTGCGACGATATCTGTAATACCATCAAACATCCACATCTGCCTATCCCAGGTCCTGGGTAAGGACTCGATAGGTAGACAAAATGCCAAATCCAGTCTGAACATCTGGCTGACTGTGCGAATAATAATAATCGATAAGAAAGACAAAAAAGTCTGGATAGTGGACGTGGCAGTGCCTGGAGACAGCAGAATAGAAGAGAAAGAACTGGAGAAGATAACAAAATACAAAGACCTACAAATAGAAATAGAAAGACTGTGGCAAAAGCAGGCAAGGGTAGTACCAATAGTGATAGGCTCCTTGGGTGCAATCCCAAAACAACTGGAGCACCACTTGAACACCATTGGCATTGACAAATTCGCTATTAGTCAATTGCAAAAGGCGGCCTTGCTAGGAACTGCTTCCATCCTGCAACGATACCTGTAATACCATCAAACATCCACATCTGCCTATCCCAGGTCCTGGGTAAGGACTCGATAGGTAGACAAAATGCCAAATCCAGTCTGAACATCTGGCTGACTGTGCGATGATCCATAATAATAATAAAAGTTGGAAGGGACCTTGGAGGTCATCTAGTCCAACCCCCTGCTCAGGCAGGAAAGCCTATACCATTTCAGACAAATGGCTGTCCAGTCTCTTCATAAAAACTTCCAGCGTTAGAGCATTCACAACTTCCGGAGGCAGGTTGTTCCACTGGTTAATTTTTCCAGGATGCTCGTAATGTCAGCCCCATCCCAAAAATAAGCCCCAGTTAAGATCGTCAGCCAGACGGACACATTGCAACGCACGACGGACGTATTGAATGATAAAATGCTAATATTCATATCTAATTAAATATAAATAAATGATATTATTGACGTTATTTCTTTGAATAAATGTAGATTATTGCACGTGGGGAAAAAAAATAACTGAAGCATCACTTGAAAATAAGCCCTAATGGGTCTTTTGGCACAAAAAGTAATACATAAGACTCGGTTTTATTTTTGGGGAAATAACGGTAATAGTAATAATCGATAATTCTACAGAAATATGCTTCGCACAGCCAAGAACTTACGCAGTCTTCTTCTTGGATAAACTGCACTATCTTCTGGAGAATTTCTTCCAGAGTCCTGGCATAAAAAGATTTTAAAAATGCACTTATCAACATTACATCATCTTCAATATCCCCGTCTTCTTCCTCCTCATGTTTGGAGCTGGGAACGAATTGCGCTCATTACAAGGCAGTACTCCAGTTACGTCCTGTAACCATGGGAGATGCTGCAATGGTTGTTAAGTGTGAAAATGGTCACAAGTCACGTTTTTCAGTGCTGTTGTAACAGTCACTAAACAAATTGTTTTAAGTCGAGGACTGCTTGTAATACAAGGATGGGACACCACTAGGAAATCCTAGTGAGGTAAACAAGATGGGGACTCACAGTCTGGAGGAACCTTACCCTAAAAAGAACAGGGGTGTGTTTGTTGAAATCACCAGGAAATGAGTTCCCTTTTAGGTGGTTAGTTTTAGCTAATTTTAGTTCCTTGGAAAAAGGAAAAAGAGACCACCAGAAACTCCTAAATATTCTCTCAGAAATTACCGGAAGAGAACATGAATTGCCAGAGATGAAAGAGCATTTAACCCCCTTCTCTTTAGATCAGTGTTCTTCAACCTCAACGACTTTAAGATGTGTGGACTTCAACTCCCAGAATTCCTAGGGGAATTTTGGCTGGGGAATTCTGGGAGTTGAAGTCCAGACATCTTATAAAGTTGCTGAGGTTGTGAAACACTGCTTTAATGGCTGGTTTGTTACAAATTAGATCAGGGGTCTTCAAACATGGCCCTTTTAGGACTTGTGGACTTCAACTCCCAGAATTCAACTCCCAGTCCTAAAAGGGCCACGTTTGAAGACTCTTGCTTGTGGACTTCAACTCCCAGAATTCCTCAGCCAAGGACGCTGACCCCTGCATTAGATCTTAGCATCGCTGGGTGCAGAAAAATGGCGCCTATTCCACGCAAACGCTCACCGGGATTTGACGTTGAAATTCTTTCCGAGCCAGAGATGTTTCAAAGATTTGTTCTTACTCAGCGCTGGGAGCAAGGTGATTAAATCCGTGTCGAAGCCTGAGGGAACGAGAAAATAGCAAACCGATCATGTCGGGAAGAACATCGTTTATTTCCTTGCAGTTTCTTTCTGTTATGTGATTTTTGCCAATGCAAGGAAAGGTAATAAATAATAATAATAATAATAATAATAATAATAATAAGAAGAAGAAGAAGAAGAAGAAGAAGAAGAAGATTCTATTCTATTCTATTCTATTCTATTCTATTCTATTCTATTCTATTCTATTCTATATTTTCTATTCCATTCCATTCCATTCTATTCTATTCTATTCTATTCTATTCTATTCTATTCTATTCTATTCTATTCTATATTTTCTATTCTATTCTATTCTATTCTATAATAATAATAATAACAACAACAACAACAATAATAATAATACAGTTGGAAGGGACCTTGGAGGTCATCTAGTCCAACCCCCTGCTCAGGCAGGAAACCCTATACCATTTCGGACAAATGGCTGTCCAGTCTCTTCTTAAAAACTTCCAGTGTTGGAACATTCAAAGCTTCTGGAGGCAGGTTGTTCCACCGGTTAATTGTTCTCACTGTCAGGAAGTTTCTCCTTAGATCTAGGTTGATTCCATTCCATTCCATTCCATTCTTATTTCTTATTCTATTCTGTTCTGTTCTATTTGATGCATGCCTCACTTAAGGACTGTGCCACTTAATACAGGCAAGTCCTCGACTTACAACAGTTTCATTTAGTGACTATTTGAAGTCACAACGGCATTGGAAAAAAAAAGGACTTGGGCCCATTTTTCAAAACTCGGACGCTTGACAACTAGTGTGAATTGTGTCCCGGGGGGGAGTCAGGCGATCTCCTTTGGTGACATTCCGACAAGCAAAGTCAACGGGGAAGCCGGACTAACTGAACAACTGTGGCGACTCACTTAACAACCGTTTTTCATACTTACAACCAATTGCAGCATCCCCACGCTTATGACGGTGGTAGTATCTGGGGAGGGTCACGCGATCCCCACCTTCCGACAAGCAAAGCCAACGGGGAAGCCAGATTCACTTAACAACCGCGTGACTTGCTTAACGATGATGACACGAAAGGGCGTAAAACGGGGCAAAAACTCACTTAACAACTGCCTCACTTAGCGGCAGAAAATTCGGGCTCCGTTGTGGTCGTAAGTCAAGGACTTACCGGTAAATGAACTGTCCAATTACGAATTTGGTCGTAAGTCGAGGATTCCCTTTAATTTCCCTGCATATTGTAACTAGACCAGTGGTTCTCAACCTTTCTAATGCCGTGACCCCATAATACAGTTCCCCATGTTGTGGTGACCCCCAACCACTTATATATCACCGGGTGCCAGGGGCGTGGCCAAAGAAAAGGGGGGGAAAAATGGCGGACAGCCTTGTTTGGTGACCCCCGTGAAATGGTCGTTCGACCCCAAATGGGGTCCCGACCCACAGGTTGAGAACCACTGAACTAGACATTTGGACACTGGACAACGCCGTAATTCTCTGATTCTACCTTTCTTTCCTCAGAACTTACGTCCAAAGCAAATTTCCGACTCACCGTTATCTGAAATATTGAGACTGCTCAAGGCGCTGATCCCGGGCATTTGTTCTTGAAGCACTTGAGCTCCCGGAGAACGTAGCTAGGATAGAAGGACGAAAATAAAAGAGGATTTATTTATTTACCGTACGGCACATTCATATCCTATTTCAGTTAAAAAAAAAAAAAGGAACTCAGGGTTAAAGGACCAGATGCAGATAGAATGTAAAACCGGAAACCTTAACAGGAAAATTACAAACCGATATTGGTTTTTGCTGTGGTGGTTAAACAAATCAAGCTGGCCAGAGTCACTTTGGCTCAGGAAATGAGTGGCATATAAACTTCCTTCCTTCCTTCCTTCCTTCCTTCCTTCCTTCCTTCCTTCCTTCCTTCCTTCCTTCCTTCCTTCCTTCCTCCCTCCCTTCTCTCCTTCCTTTCCTCCCTTCCTTCTTTCCTCCCTCCCTCTCTCCCTTCCTTCTTTCCTCCCTCCCTTCCTCCTTCCTTCCTCCCTTCTCTCCTCCCTCCCCCTCTCCCTTCCTTCTTCCTTTGTTCCTTCTTTCCTTCCTTCTCTCCTTCCCTCCCTCCCTCCTTCCTCCCTGCTATCCCTCCCTCCCTTCCTCCCTTCTCTCCCTCCCTCCTGCCCTTCTTTCCTCCCTCCCTCCCTCTCTTCCTTCTTTCCTCCCTCCCTCCTTCCTCCCTTCTCTCCTCCCTCCCTCTCTCCCTCGCTTCCTTCCTCCCTCCCTCCCTCCCCCTCCCTTCCTTTGTTCTTTCCTTCCTTCTCTCCCTCCCTCCCTCCTTCCTTCCTCCCTGCTATCCCACCCTCCCTTCTTTCCTCCCTCCCTTCTTTCCTCCCTCCCTCTTTCCTTCCTCCTTCCTTCCTTCCTCCCTGCTGTCCCTCCCTCCCTCCCTTCTTTCCTTCCTTCCACCCTTCTTTCCCTCCCTCCCTTCTTTCCTCCCTCCCTCCTTCCTTTCTTCCTTCTCTCCCTCCCTCACTTCTTTCTTTCCTTTTCTAACTCCCTCCCTCTCCCTCCCTCCCTCCCTTTACTCCCTCCCTCCCTCCCCTCCTTCTTCCTTTGTTCCTTCTTTCTTTCCTTCTCTCTCTCCCTCCCTCCCTTCTTTCCTTTCTTCCTTCTCTCTCTCCCTCCCTCCCTGCCTCCCTCCCTTTCTCCCTTTATCTGTCCAATTGATTGGCCACCCATCTTACAATATTAAAAAAAAAATCAAATGATAGACATGAAATAAGGTAAGTCCTCGACTTACGACCACAACTGAGACCCAAATTTCCATTGCCAAGTGAGACATTTGTCACTAAGTGAGAATTTTGCCCCATTTTACAACCTTACTTGCCTCCAAACTGAGTCCCTGCAGTTGTTAAATTAGTATCACCGTTGTTAAGTGAAACAATGACACTTTTTAAGTGTGGAAAAACTGGTCACAAGTCACTTTTTTCAGTGTCGCTGTAACTTTGAAGGTCACTGAACAAATCGTTGTAAGTCGAGGACTTTACCTGTACTACAATTCATAAATAAATCACGGCGGTCATTAAGTGAGACATCACGTGACCGCAACTTGGGATCTTCCCTGACTGCTTCCCCGCGGTCATTACTTGTGGGAAGCCAGTGGGGAAACTCACAAACGGGAATGACACAACGTCAGGACGCTGCAACTGTCACACGTGTGACGCGGTCGCCACCTGCATATGCGCGATGGCGCTGAAGTGCAAGGATCAGCGGTCAGTTGCTTTCCTCAGCGCCAAACGGCTGCTAAACGAACGGCCGCATCTTGAGGACTAGCCGCATATGCAGACCAATTATATTTGCCCAAAGGAGAGCGGCGAAGGGGCGAAGTCGTTTATTTGAGCGTGGAAGCGCTCAGGGGCTGATCGCGGGACAGATGTGCAAAAAAAAAAAAAAGGTTTACACGCTGGATAATTCCTCACACATCTTAAATTTTACCTCACATCCGCTCAGATCCAGGTGCAGCTCGCTGAGGTGGGTGTTGGCGGACAAACCTTGCATGAGAGACCTGTGGGAAGGGAGCAAACTTGGATTATTGTGGTTTTCAAGGTTTTTGCCATGTACCTTCTCTCTTGAGACTTCGAAAAGGGAAGGACTGAGGCAACAGAGAGGGCCTACCAAACCTCCAGATATTTATAAATGGGATGAGCTTAAAAAGCGACAACACAAACTAACATGTACGGGGTGAAGTTGTTACTCCGTGAGTGCCTGCCCTTAATATATATATTAAAAAAGCCTCTGTTTTCCCCAACAAACACAGGCAACACATGCACACAGAAGGACATGTATCAGAGAGCCAGTTGGCCTAGCGGTTAAGGTAGCAGTCTAGACAGCAGGAGATGGTGAGTTCTAGTCCCGCCTTAAGCATGAAAGGCAGCTGGGTGACTTTGGGCCAATCACCAGGATATGGTGATTTCTAGTCCTGCCTTAGGCATAAAAGCTGGCTGAGTGGGCCAATCACCAGGTGACGGCGAGTTCTAGTCCTGCCTTAGGCATGAAAGCCAGCTGGGTGACTTTGGGCCAATCACTAGGAGACGGTGAGTTCTAGTCCTGCCTTAGGCATGAAAGCCAGCTGGGTGACTTTGGGCCAATCACTAGGTGACGGCGAGTTCTAGTCCTGCCTTAGGCATGAAATCCGGCTGAGAGACTTTGGGCCAATCACCAGGAGACGGCGAGTTCTAGTCCTGCCTTAGGCATGAAAGCCAGCCGGATGACTTTGGGCCAATCACCAGGTGACGGCGAGTTCTAGTTCTACCTTAGCCATGAAATCTGAATGAGAGACTTTGGGCCAATCACCAGGAGACGGTGAGTTCTAGTCCTGCCTTAGGCAGGGTGACTCTGGGCCAATCATCAGGTGACGGCGAGTTCTAGTCCTGCTTTAGCCATGAAATCCGGCTGAGTGACTCTGGACCAATCACCAGGGTGACTCTGGGCCAATCACCAGGTGACGGCGAGTTCTAGTCCTGCTTTAGCCATGAAATCCGGCTGAGTGACTCTGGACCAATCACCAGGAGACGGTGAGTTCTAGTCCCACTTTAGGCCTGAAACTTTGGTTGACTTTGGACCAGTCCCTCTCTCTCAGCCCAACCCACCTCGCAGGGTTGTTAGCTCCTTTTTGTGACTCGACACCCCAATGATATTGCACATTAGATAATCACACCCCCAGTTTTGTTCTAAGCACCGCCCAACGTGGCTCCGTGGCCATGCTTGACACTCACCGCAAGGCTTCTACGGGGACCCTGATGCCGGACAGATTCACACAATTGAGTGAATAGGCACTGCAGAAAAACTGCTTCAGAGAGGGCGGGAATTCTTTTCCCTTCCTGCGGGAGAGAGAGGATTCCTTTTATTTTGGGGGGGGGCAAAAACAGACACCCCCCCCACTCTCCCCTTGCAAAATATTGAAGAAAAAACCAATATTATCCTTACCGGTGGGAAAAGGTGTTGCGTGAAAGATTGAGGTAGCAGAGACGAGGGCAGCAGCCGTGCAGCAACGCACTAAAAAGCTACAGAAAGAGAGAAACCCACACCGAGAGGTGAATTGTGGTCCTGCTGAACGAATCGCCGGCTGCCATCCACCCCGTTAAGTACTCCGTAGCCAATCTGTCCCCGTAGGTGTTGTCTGACGTTCCTAACTGCGTTTATCCCAAACGTGCCTTTTTTTTCAGGAGGCAAGTGGACTGTCTAGTTTTTCTTTGAAGACGTTTCGCTTCTCACCCCAGAAGCTTCTTCAGCTCTGAGTGGATGGTGGGGAATGGAAGAATTTATACTCCTTTGCAGGCAGCTGGTCATTTGCCTTCTTTTAGGGAACCGTTGAGGCCACTTGGAGGTTTATCTGTGTCCTGATGGTCACCTGAGCGTGGCAAATAGGTGTGGAGCTTTCTTGGCTGCAGCATGTTTTCAGCCCTGTGTCCCTTCCCTGTTGAAAACAGGCTCAGGTAAAGATCCCGAGGACACAGAAAAACCTCCAAGTGGCCTCAACGACTCCCTAAAAGAAGACAAATGACCAGTTTTTCTGCCAGCAGTATGAATCCTTCCCTTCCCGATCATTCAGGCAGAACCTGAGGAAGTTTCTGGGATGACAGGCGAAACGTCTTCAGAGAAAAAGAAGAAAGTCCAGTTGTCTCTTGAAAAAAAAAACCTTTGGGACAAGTGAACAAACCTCCAAGCGGCCTCAACAGCTCTCCCAAAGAAAGCAAATCACCAGCTGTCTGCAAGGAGTATAAATCCTTCCATTTCCCCACCCTCCACTCAGAGCTGAAGAAGCTTCTTGGGTGAGAAGTGAAACGTCTTCAGAGAAAAAGAAGAAAGTCCAGCTGCCTCTTAAAAAAGCAACTTTGGGACAACTGAGGACTGAGATAAACCTCCAAGTGGCCTCAACAACCCTCTAAAAGAAGGCAAATGACCAGTTTTTCTGCAAGCAGTATAAATCCTTCCGTTCCCGATCATTCAGTCAGAACCTGAGGAAGCTTCTGGGATGAGAAGCGAAACGTCTTCAGAGAAAAATAAGAAAGTCCAGTTGTTTCCTGAAAAAAGCACCTTTGGGACAACTGAGGACTCAGATAAACCTCCCAGTGGCCTCAACGACTCTCTAAAACACTGGTTCTCAACCTTTTTAATGCCGCGACCCCCAACCAGTCGTAAGTCGAGGACTACTCAACCGGTCGTAAGTCGAGGACTATTCAACTGGTGCAGCACCGTTTGCAGAATGGGACTTTTGGCGGGCTTAGCAGGGCAGAGACAGCCTGGACAATTCCTATTGGCTTTTGAAAGCCAATAGAATTAGACTCTATTTAAGAGAGTCTATTCTATTGGCTTTCAAAAGCCAACAGAATAAAAGGGAGTAGCACAGCTAAGGAAAAGGGGGGAAAAAATGGTGGACTGCGTTGTTTGGCGACCCCCGTGAAATGGTCATTTGATCCCAAATGGGGTCCCGACCCACAGGTTGAGAACCACTGCTCTAAAAGAAGGCAAATGACCAGTTTTTCTGCAAGCAGTATAAATCCTTCCTTCCCAATCATTCAGTCAGAACCTGAGGAAGCTTCTGGGATGAGAAGCGAAACATCTTCAGAGAAAAATAAGAAAGTCCAGTTGCTTCCTGAAAAAAGCACCTTTGGGACAACTGAGGACTCCGATAAACCTCCCAGTGGCCTCAACGACTCTCTAAAAGGAGGCAAATGACCAGTTTTTCTGCAAGCAGTATAAACCCTTCCGTTCCCGATCATTCAATCAGAACCTGAGGAAACTTCTGGGATGAGAAGCGAAACGTCTTCGAAGAAAAACAAGGAAGTCCAGTTGCCTCGTGAAAAAAGTTGTTTTGGGACAACCCTGACCTGGAGGGCAGAGAAACTCCGTGGACACTTACTGCGTCTACCGCACAGTCCGTGGAGGAGAGGTCCAGGTGTATCAGTGCGTTGGGCTGTGCCAGGAACGAGTAGAAACTCTAGAAGGGAACCAAGAAAGGAAAGGCATCCATAAACCAGGATACAAGTAGTCCTCAACCTATGACCACAATTGAGCCCAAAATTGACGTGGCTGAAGGAGGAATTTGTTCAGCGAGTTTTGCCCCGTTTTACGATGAAGCGAAACCGGCTTCCCGCGCGGACTTTGCTTGACAGACGGTCGCAAAAGGGTTATCACGTGACCCCAGGACGCTGCGACCGTCATAAATAGGAGTCGGTAAGTGTCTGAATTTTGATCACCTGACTCTGGGGAGGCCGTAAGGCGCGTAAGTGTGGAAAACGGTCGTACGTCACTTTTTTCAGTGCGGTTGTAACTTTGAATGGTCACTAAATGGATCGTAAGGATCAGCTGTACTTCTACCATGTGGGGTTTTTTTTTTATTTACTTGTCTAATGCTGGATTTCCTCACGTTGGAACTCTCCAGATTCTGGAAATCTGGGGAGATTATAATATTATAATATTGGGTTCCCCCCCCCTTCCAAACATGGAATCCTCATCTGGAATGGGGTTTTCTGGACAATGCTGTGATCTGACTCCCCAACGTCTTGATAATAGAATAATCATGTTGGAAGGGACCTTGGAGGTCTTCTAGTCCAACCCCCTGCTCAGGAAGGAGGCCCTATCCCACTTCAGACAAACGGCTGTCCAATATCTTCTTAAAGAGGAGGAGGAGGAGGAGGAGGAGGAGAATAACAGCTGGAAGGGACCTTAAAGGTCTTCTAGTCTAATCCCCTGCTCAGGCAGGAAATCCTAGACCAGGGGTAGGCAACCGTGGCTCTTTTATGACTAGTGGACTTCAACTCCCAGAATTCCTGAGCCAGCCATGCTGAGGGGGAAGGGAGGGGTTTCCATGCTGAGTTGTGCTGGCTCAGGAATTCTGGGAGTTGAAGCCCACGAGTCATGAAGGGGCCAAAGTTTCCATCATGCTGGCTGAGGAATTCTGGGAGTTGAAGTCCACGAGTCATGAAGGGGCCAAAGTTTCCCTCATGCTGGCTGAGGAATTCTGGGAGTTGAAGTCCACGAGTCATGAAGGGGCCAAAGTTTCCCTCATGCTGGCTGAGGAATTCTGGGAGTTGAAGTCCACCAGTCATGAAGGGGCCAAAGTTTCCCTCATGCTGGCTCGGGAATTCTGGGAGTTGAAGTCCACCAGTCATAAAAGAGCCAAGGTTGCCTACCCCTGCCCTAGACCATTTCAGACGATAGGATGCCAGTCACTCACGTTTGCCTCGTCAGTGCCCAGAAGGCCCGGGTTTTTGCTTAAGTCAAGATGGCGGAGAGAACTGGTGAACGCTGGGTTGGCACTGAAGGTCTGGCACAAAACGGCAAGTCCTGAGGAAGGAAGCGGAGGATACTCTGGGTCTTGACTGTTTAAAGCCAACTTCCTTAACAGGGGTGGGAAGACTTCCGTTCCCAGAATTCCCTGCGATGGCTCTGCTGACTGAGGGATCCTGGGAGTTGAAGTCTAGTGGACACCTCTGAGCCTTTGTGGAGAATTAGCCTGGAGTAGTGTTTTTCCACCTTGGCAGCCTGAAGATGGGTGGACTTCAACTCCCAGAATTCCCCAGCCCAAACAGGAATTCTGGGAGTTGAGGCCTACCCAGCATCAAGTTGCCAAAGTTGAGAAATACTGCTCTGGAATAGAAAATGGACTGAAATCCCCAAACTGCCATGAATCCATGTTTTATCAATTTATATATGATGCTTCTGTTAGCCACTCAGTCATCCATATATAAACGTATAAATAAAAGTAGTGAATTCCTTCTTCCCCCTTCTCCCTCCCTCCCTTTTTCCTTCCTTCCTTCCTTCCTTTTCTTCTGCCTTCCTTTCTCCCTTTTCCCATCTCCTTCCTTTCTTTTTCCATCTTCTCCCTCCCTCCTTCCCTCCCTCCCTTTCTTTTCCTCCCTTCCTTCCCCCCACCCTCCTTCCCTTCCTTTCTTCCTTCCTTCCTCCCTCTCTCCTCTCCCTTCCTTTCTCCCTCACTCCCTTTTCCCTTCCTCCCTTCCTTCCTCTCTCCCTCCTTCTCTTCCTTTTCTTTTCTCCCTTCCTCCCTACCTCCCTCTTTCTGTTCCCTTCCTTTTCCTTCCTTCCTCTCTCCCTCCCTCCCTCCATTTTCCCTTCCTTCCTTCCTTTCTTCCTCCTTCCCTCCCTTCTTCCTTTTCTTTCCTTCCTTCCTTCTTCCCTCCCTCCTTCCCTTCCTTTCTTCCTTCCTTCCTCCCTCTCTCCTCTCCCTTCCTTTCTCCCTCCCTACCTTTGCCTCCCTCCCTCCCTCCCTCCCTCTCTCCCTCCTTCCCTTCCTTTTCTTTCCTCCCTTCCTCCCTCCCTCCTTCCCTTCCCTTCCTTTTCCTTCCTCCCTCCCTCCCTCCCTTTTCCCTTCCTTCTTTTCTTTCTTCCTCTTTCCCTCCCTCCTCCCCTCCCTTCTTCCTTGTCTTTCCTTTCCTTCCTTCCTTCCTTCCTTCCTCCCTCCCTCCCTTTTCTCTTCCTTTCTTCCTTCCTTCCTCCCTCTCCTTCTCTCCCTTCCTTTCTCCCTCCCTCCCTTCTTTCCTCTCCCTCCTTCCCTTCCTTTTCTTTCCTCCCTTCCTCCCTCCCTCCCTCCCTCCTTCTCTTCCCTTCCTTTTCCTTCCTTCCTCTCCCTCCCGTTTCCCTTCCTTCCTTTCTTCCTCCTTCCCTCCCTCATCCCTCCTTCCCTCCCTTCTTCCTTTTCTTTCCTTCCTTCCTTCCTC